CGCCACAGTTGCTGACCATCGCTGTACGGCCGTCATTAAACTCGGCTCCTCAGTGAAAAACGGTGGGTGCTCGCGCCCGCTTCCTGTTTTATACCCGCGCTGCGGGGCGCGTGACGCGTTCACGCACGCCAACGTTCATTGGCTTGTTCTTAGATACTCGAAGTTGATAGGGCTCCCTGAAGTGATCCCCTAACGTCGTCACGTCTCCCGTTCCCTCCTTCGGGGAACGAGGGTTACATCAGTAACCGAGACGATTTGCATGGCTTAATATAATGTAAATTACATTTTTTTTACTGAAAAATGTAGAAAACCCATGAGAGATTTGCGTAATTTAAACAAACAAAACATCATTTTATATTATTTTGGACAATGGGGGGCACCATTATTTTAGGTGCATAGTGCTTTCTGCATCGATAACGTCAAATGGTTGCACTTTGCATTTGGTTTAAGGCTGCGCTTTTGATAGTACAGTAGAAAATGAGAGAACATGCAATTGATTGTGAATAAAATGGTTGAACCCATTTAATGGTGTGTGTTTGTGTTTCGTTGACTATCACCTACTGGAAAAAACTAAACGTACCCGTCGACCACTAGTAAGAACCCCTAGAGCACCAACCAATCAATGAGAGTCTTGTCCATGTTAAGCAAAAACATTTTTATTTCGTTCATCACTGCACTAGTGCAAGAGTTTGGTCATATTGTAAAACCCCAAACAATGCGTCTCTTTCTTGGAGTCTCAGCGTTGAGAAGGATGTTCTTGTGACAGTATCTGGCCTGAGGCAAAGACCGCCACACAAGTCAAGCAAAGACGAGACGATGAAGACAAATCTTTGTTAGTTGCCTTTCGCCCTCTCAATTGCTAAATGTGATTGAGAAACTTTCAGCTGCAGGAACTGGTTTGTTATTGAACTTTAGATCTGCCACTTTATTGGGCACATAATCCATTGTTTCATTTAATGTAGGCTAATTGACTTAGTAGCATTCGAACAGGAAATGCATAATTTACTCATCTTTATGTGATTCCCAACTTGCACAAGTTTAGCAGAGTATCTGAGCTGCTGTTTTTCCATACTTTGAAACTGTCAAGCACCAAAAATAACCAAAAAAATAATAATTTGTTAACAATAAAGTATGGCATGTGAAGTAGTGTTGCTCCAGGCTCGATGTCAGTGGCAAGACAACATTGTGCGAGCTATTGTTTATCAAACCTGACAAGACGCCTCTTAATGTGTATTTTTGCACATTTGGATATGTGCAGACGAGTCATATCGGCAGTCGGCTACATTTATTCTAAGTAAATAAAAACAGATTTTTCCTTTGTTAAAGGACTGATTTTACATTCAAGTTCTTACAGTAACCTTTAAATAATCTTAAAAAAAACTTTAACTCTCAATTTTACTTTGTAGCTTCATTAGCACGACAGACATTAAATCACATGGTTAATGGTATCATTTGGACTCATGTGGTTTCATTCTTAAAGGGATCCTCTACTGGTTTTTCATATTAAACTATGTTATTCCCTTAACTAAGACGAGTTGATGCATACCTCTCTCGTCTCAGTGCGTGCACTACATGGCTGTCTTACGGCGAAACTTTGTTAGATCTTATCTCAACCCTGTTCATTCAATACGTGCCCAGAAGAGAAGCGACCAAACACCTCCACGTTTTCCCTATTTAAATACAGTTACACGAGTAGTGTAACTCGACCTAGGACGGTGACACAAAATAAAACGTTGCGCTTTTCTAAGCGTGTAAAATGGATAACTATATTGTAATGGCAGAATACCATAGCAAGTGCTTGGGAGCACTTCATCTCGGCGCAGTAATATCATCTCTCGTGAAAAGTCCTCTCCCCCGCTCCCTCTCCTCCTCCCTCTCATTTCAACGGGAGCGGACTTTTCACGAGAGACACGACCTCGTACACGATCATACCGCTAATCTTCATTCCGCGTTCACACAGAGCACATTACCGGTCATTTACTAATAATGTTACAACTTCCCAGTTTTTTGGAAAAGTTCCTGTTCACACATGTGTGAAAGGGACTACTGTTAAACAAATAGTTAAGCACAGGGTTGGAATTATGATTCCATCTTTGTGGGGGTCTCTTTAAAGAAAGAAAAAAAAGTAACCCATGAGCAGGCGTGGTGTATGTGATAAATAAATAGCTAAATACTGCACTTCATTATTTTGAGTTCAACGTACGTTTCTTAATACAGGTGTAGAGAATATTTGGGTGGAGTTCGTTACCTCTAGGGGGGTCTGGGGGCATGCCCCCCCAGGAAGAAAATTTTGTACATTTTAAAGATAAATTCATTAATCTGGTGCACTTTGAGTCACCCGAATCCACTGTTAAAAATAATCCAACCGCCCAAACATATGATATTCTTTGATTTAGATCTGCATCTGATCATCATTACAATTTTTCAAATTCTCAATGTTAAGCATGATAATATGGTAAAATATCACACTGAAGTAGGCTTATTTAAAATTAACATTTATTTAAATTAAAAGTTATTCTTTGGCCAAAATTACATTTCCTTAATATTCTTAACAGAGGCTTTTTACTCCCTTCAAAGTTAAATTGTCAATGTTTCATTACATCACTGTTGGCAAACACTCTTATCAGAATAATTTTTTTTACCTTTAAAATAGGGCATTTTTCCCTCTAATTTTATGTAGCCTATGCTCCATCTTTCTTTTAAAATATTCCTTAATTTGATCAATACATTAAATCAGAATAATAAGACAGTAGGCTGTTACCAATCAAATTAAATAATTTACATTGAAAAATTACAACTGTAGTAAATGCCCTGACATGTTTTCCTTGATTGATTTTCTCTAAAGAGAATTACGTTGTTGAAAACGAAAGTAAAAGAGTGACGCTCATTGCGTTTTACCATGATAAGAGTTCCGTGTCTTTATTAAAATCAACACATTATAATGATTTATCTTTCATCCATCCTCGATTAATTTGAATGTAGGCTTTTTTTTTTTATTATTTGTCTCGCCCGACCCGCGCAGCACTATCGGCAAACTATACGGTTTGAGAATGGCCACAGGCCGAGTTTTGTTGAGAGCCGGAGGCGGCTGCCTCGTAATTCCATGCAGGAAAACCCTGAAAGGAGTTCGCTAAAATATTGGTGGGGGCCTACCTAGCGTCCCCCCAAATCATTTTTTTGCTAGTAGCTACTTTTGTGTATTTAAAGGTCTGAAACCTAAAATAAACATTATGTGGTTGAAAACACTGAATAGTAACTTGTGATATATTGTGTATATTGAGCGCATCTGTCTCTGGCTCAGCGCCAGCCAACGCGCGAAAGCACTTTTGAATTTAGCAGTTGATCACGTGATGCACTGACTGTTCTAATCACACCGCTGTGGACGTACGTGCGAAAGGGTTAACAAATATGCCTCGATTATTGAAGGAAAACGTGCTTTATTTGTAATTTAAAATGATGGTGCTGATGATTTTTAGAGCCCCCACAGGTGTAGGATTTTACTGCTTTCATGGGAGCTCATACTCTCTCTATGGGAGCTCAGCTCCCACTGGCTCCCACGTAATTCGAACCATGGTTAAGCATCTAGATTTTGCCAGTTCCAAACTCGCCGCCACAATGCTACGTTGTTCTGAATGATTTTCATTACAAGGTCTTCTGGGCAGTTTTGCTATGTGTTTGCTAATGGGTTTGGGCAGATTTTAGCGCATTGATGTGTGGTCACTAGTGATTTGAGTGGTTGCTAGGTGGTCGCTGACTGTCCCGATCTAAAAAGTCTCTAAAGCCGGAGACACACTTAACGACTAGCTGAAACATTCTAGGACTGAACTGAACACACTTACAGACTGACACACTGTCTCTGACTCTGCACGTTTGGGGATGATCAGTTGTAAGTATCAAATTACATTCATAATCGGCCTAACGTGTCCCCGGCTTAAGTCTCTATGATATTCTGATTTCTAGATAAATTTGTTGAATCATGAGTAAAATAAATGAAGGACTCGACAATAAGGACTGGCCGATGACCCGTCCAACAGCGCTCGGGACAGTAGAGGGATCTGTCACTTACCCGATCGCCACAAATGTTTAGCATTAGCACGTGTTTTTAAGCTTCGCCAATTTAAATATTCAAGTGCAAGAAGACGTGAAAGAGAACTCTGTAATCACTGTTTGAGAAGTTTTGTGCTCCCAACACACACCCGAAGCACCCAGAAAGCCGCGTCTCCGAAAGCAATGCAAATACTGACATGGTTCGTCTTTCACTTTTTCTTGCGCTTGAACCGACACATTCACACACAATTTATTTTCATCACGCCTGGAAATCTTTCAGTTTTACTGACATTTCCTTTAACCCTAACTCTTACATCAACGCAATTTTTGGTCCCTATTCTTCCTGGCCTTTTTAGAGTGAGTGTTGTTATACTGTTAACATTCAGTTTAGTCACGCATACTTCATCATTCCTCAGAGAACAGCTGGACATGTGACGGTTTAGCTGTCAAAGATCGCACGTGTGTTTCGTCAGCCGTTCTCACGTTTATAGCGCTGAGATCTGAATTATCCCGCTCTGGCTTGAATTAGACCGGCCAAGACTCTCTTCTGTAAATAGGATGGAGGTGGGAGACGTTTGTTGCTCTGGATCTGCAGAAAGACTCCATTGTATTAACCTGACGTCAAAGTTGCTTCATAAAAGCAGAAAGCCATATTTTGACAAGAAAACAGCACAACGTCAGTTAGTGTTTTGCTGCGTCTTGCACTAATTGTTCAACAGGCAAAACGAATCAGTTATTCACCCCTTTTTAGGCACAACCATCTGCAATCATTATCGGTCAAGTCAATTTAATAGATAGTAGCTTCAGTTGATCAAACGGTGCTTGTTCAAGGTCAAGGATTCGTTCACAGCACATCGTTCCTTCTGGAGAACGTCATGTATAATGTGCCATTAGTTAACGTTCAGCGAACTGTGATTCTAACTCTTCCCCTCTCTCTCTCTCTCTGTCTCAAGGTTCAAACGCATCTTGAAAATCCCACTAAGTATCACATCCAGCAGGCTCAGAGGCAGCAGGTGAAGGCGTATCTGTCCACCACACTGGGAGGAAAGCTCGGGTCGCAGGCGTTGAGCTTGCCGTGTCCCAGCCAGGCCAGCGATCACGGGGGAATGCCTCCGGGGCCGGGCAACAGCGCCCCCAACAGTCCTATGGCCTTACTGACACTCAACTCCAACTGCGAGAAAGAGGTAACCACACCGGTTCAATTACTATGAAGAATACCGAAATCTTTAGCTTCAACCCTTTCTGAAAATAATGGACAGAATTACACTTTAGGTAACACTTTAGTTAACATTCATTTCAACATTTACTAATACATTATTAAAATCAAAACTTGTATTTGCACTGTGAACTCACATGAACAAACAATGAACAGCTGTATTTTTGTTAAATAACGTTAACAAAGATAAATAAATACTGTAACAAATGTATTGCTCATGGTTAGTTCACGCTAGTTAATACATTAACTAATGCTAACAAATGAAACCTTATTGTAAAGTGTAACCATATTATTTAATGGATGGGCAGGTTAACATTTATGATGAATAAACTGTAAGAAATATTATATTAACTTTATATGATCAGAATTTGGCGTAAACAACATGAAAGCATGGGTCCATCCTGCCTTGTATCAGTGGTTCAGGCTGCTGGTGCTGTAATGGTGTGTGGGATTTTATCTTGGCACACTTTGAGCCTCTTAGTACTGATTGAGCATCGATTAAACACCACAGTCTACCTGAGGATTGTTGCTGACCCTGTCCATCCCTTTGTGACCCGTTTAGGTCTTTTTAATTTTGTTATTTTGTTGATGAGAGTTGAAAACCGTTTAACTTTTGGTAAAACGCTGCATTCGTCACTGTCACTTTTTAGCCAGCCGTCCAATCACAGTTGAGGAAGGGCGGGACAAATACCATACCCAACAACCATCCTCCTTGTACAATGACTGAACAACATGGAGAAGTTATTAATATTGCTGGTTACTACATTTTTATATTCAGTAATATTCTTCAAGTAAGGAATAATTGACCACATATTTTTCTAATAATTCAACGGCCTGAAGTCAATTATTCCGCTTATACTACAGTTACCACACCTTAAAACATTGTTCAGATGATGCATTTCAAGACGTTTGTCAAGTTTTTGTCATTAAAACGCTCTTGTATGTAGGACTCATTTCTTACGCATCTAATCCCATGCCTCCGTTGCTAATTCCAAAACGTCATTTTAGAGTTAGTAACGGAGGTTTGAGCCACTGATAGCAGACTAATGATGGGGACACACTTAACTACTAGCTGAAACATTCGAAGACTGACTGTTCCCATCGACTGTAGCAGGTCTTAAACACAGACTGTGAATAGGCTACAGACTGAACGCGCTGAACCAGTAGCGGTTTTACGCACGGGCGAACCGGGCAGTCGCCCGGGGCGGCATTTTTTCATGTCACATGGGGGGCGGCACGAGCAGTTAAAAAAAATCCTCTGCGCCGCGAAGGTTTTCTATTTTCTATCATTTCAATTCAATTATTGGCAATGGCGCCCCTGCTTGCTGAGAAGGTGCCGTGCACAGAAGCTATGTCAAGGGGGTCTCCAGATTGGAGGAGCTCACCAAGGGGCCGTTCACATATCGCGTCTTTTGCGCGCTCGAGGTCGTTATTTCAAATGAAGGCGCACGGGAAGCGCGCTCATAATTGAAGCGACGCGCTCATTTTTTCCAGGAGCAGCGAGATGAAATTTTTTTATCTTTTCAGTATGGGAGTGCACCCAAACACGTGGGTGTTTTTCTCTTCTCCGTAAATAAATCTTTTAGCAGAGCTACAGCAAGCGTTTTTCTGTGGTGGAAATCCATTAGCTACTAAAACTTCTTTGTCGTTGTGGAGAGCGCAATGCATGGTTGTATAGCAACGACAGCCATGGGAAAATCGGACCGAATTTTACTATTAATAAAAAAGAAAAAGCTACTGTGCATTATAAATGTCAGGAATTTATCTTTATTGACCCATTCTTTTTATAAAGATGATTTAAAGGCTGAAATATGTGAGGTTTATCTTTTTATAAAACCTTTTTTGTCAAAAGTTTATTTGAACGTGTACATGTTATTAGATAACATAAAACACACTCCTTTAAAATTTGGCCATCATCTTTAATGTTATTAACTTGGTGAATAGATTTCATTGTGTATTAGGCCTACTTTTTGAACAAGATTCTGTGTTTAACCGTGATCATTTTGGTCACTATATTCATGAAATGAAAATAATAGGCCTATTTCACAAAAATGGCCGCCGAGACCGGAAGTAGGGTAAACTCTTTTCCGGTGAAAGCCATAGACAGGGTGAAAGCGCTAGCAGTTACAGTCGGAGGACAAATGCAGAGATTAAAAGCGGTTGCTTACCTTTTTATGTTTCAACCCAAAGAAGAAACAACCCTATTGATCACTTCACAGCTTTTCGTGTTTTGCGGGTTTTCATGGAACAATCGGGGAGAAGTTAAATCACGCCAGGCGCGTGTGAAGGAGGACGCAGATGTTGAAATGGAGTGTTGATGCCGGTTCGGGACTGATGCCCTGACAAAACATGTTTATATTGCACTTGATTGTTATCCAATTTGCACGTCATGCACTTTTATTTATTATTATTAACTGTTGGCAAATTAAAATTGTTTGTATAAGTTGTTTTCTGTAACTTTCTTTCCTTTTTACCTGGGTGCGCTTTGCCAGGCCTGCTGTTTACTTGTGCAAGCAAGGGCAGCTGGGAGATTTATTAAACGTATAAAATACTTTCCAAACCGTTACATATAGTCTTATAAATGCAGACGTTTGTGATATAAAAAAAATAAACATATTGGAATAATTTTTAAAGTTGTTTGAACACGGAGCAGTTTTTCCCGTGAGTCGGACTGGAAAACCCGGAGTGGATCGGGAGCGGAGTGATAATAGAACGCTTCTGTGCAGAGAGGAACGGGCTTTTGCTCCAGTCCAGGCTTTGATCACATCTCCCTAAGCGGGTGAACACTTAATAACATGATTTTTTTTTTTAACAAAAGCCACTAGATTTCACTCATAGCCTACAATCAGACATCATTTCAATTTATTTATTTATTGTTTTTCGATATATTAACGTTAAATGTGAGCTTAGTCATCAAGTGTCATGCCATTTAAATGAATGGAACTTTTCTATGTAACGTAAGCACTAAGCAAACGTCAAGAATTTGTCCAATTTCGATCTTTTCACAACTCCCTGAAAACTATCAACAAAACGGACAACATCTGATATTCTTACTTTTGTCAGATAACGTTATATGAATGACTGAGAGAGAAAACAAGCTGTTCAAAGTCCATTTTGAAAATGAATGGCGATCGTAGCGGGCGGCAGCGCGACCAGAAGTCTTTTTGCCGTCTGTGTCTGGCGTGATTTAACCTCTCCCCAGTTGTTCCATGAAAACCCGTAAAACACGGAAAGCTGTGAAGTGATAAATAGGGTTGTTTCTTCTTTGGGTTGACATAAACACCATAAAAAGGTAAGCAACAGGACTAAACCGCTTACAGTTCCTGCATTTGTCCTCCGACTGTAACTGCTAGCGCTTTCACCGGAAAAGAGTTTACCCTACTTCCGGTCTCGGGGGCCATTTTGTGAAATAGGCCTATTGTCATAATGATCAACTAAAATCAACTATGATTATGTTTTTTTACAGTAGCCTATAATATGCAAAGTACAATTTTCTATTAAAAAATAATCTCTGATTCTATCCTTTTCTCTGACATTTAAGGCCTAAGCTATTTTAGGTCTAAAACAGTTTGGATAGTTGTTAATATTAGAGTTAATATTAACAACCCGAAGGGGGTCTCGCCCAGGGTGTAATTCAATGTAGAACCGCCACTGCGCTGAACACGCGTTTGGGCAAGATCAGTCATAAGTATCAAATTACATTCATAACTGGCCTTAGTAAGTGTGTCCCGGCTTTATACAGTTATTAATGCAGCTATTAGAGAGAGAGAGAGAGAGAGAGAGAGAGAGAGAGAGAGAGAGAGAGAGAGAGAGAGAGAGAGAGAGAGAGAGAGAGAGAGAGAGAGAGAGAGAGAGAGAGAGAGAGAGAGAGATGTTGCAATAATGAGACAGAAATCATACGTCAATATTATTATTTATTAATTAATTAAATTTGTTTTAATTAATTCGTTCATTCTTGTTTTCTATAATTGACAGTAGATATAACCTAATAAATGAAACACAAAGCCCCTTTTAACAAGTAGGCCTATCAATAATTATTTATTTGTTATATTATCTGGAATAATTACGAAAACCCATGCAGCAGGACTATCAATTTATGTATATAGCCTATTCAGTTTAATTTTCTATTTAGCCTATTATAGATAGGACTACATACTTTATTTATTCAAATTATACTGTATGTGTCCATTGATTGTGAAGTTAGACATCGAAACTGCAGATCAAGCGCATGGGGCGCATGTTTTTTTCTTGTTATGAATTGTATCCTATTTTCCGTTATTACAGGTAACTACGCGCAGTGATATGGAACTGTAATGCGGTCAAACCTGCCTGGAACTACTTTAGCCGTGCGTTTCCCTGAAAATAATTGCACACCTTAGAACGTTCTCAACCAATCAGAATCGAGCATTCAACAGCCCTGTAGTATAAAATGAGATAACATATTACTGCCTGGCATTTTCCTTATCATAGTAACTGGCTGCTCCTCCAAAGCGCTCTCAGGTGCCACTAGCTGGCCGTTTTCAGAAGAGCACCTGACATTTTTTTTTTTTTTTTGCTGGCTAAGAATGTTTTGGTGGACACACGATAATTGAATATTTATTATTAGGCATATGGCCTATTGGTCTCTTTTTGCATTTATGCAATATACAAGAGCCAAACATGAGAGGCGTTCCTGGGGCCGGTTTCACAAAGCTATTTTAACCGCTCTATAGAGTTAGACAAGTCTAAAATTTGCAATAGACTAGTCTAATGCAAGTTAGACTGTTTCACAAAAATAAAGACTGACTTAATTTAGACCAAAAAAATTAGACCGCTTACCCCCAAGCTAACTTAGGTCTAAAACTCTGTTACCTTGACAACCAGCAGTAACAATCGGTTACATTACAAACAGCCGAAAGAAAAGGGAAAATGGCCCTTTCCAAATTAAACATTTCTTCTTGTTACTACATTCTACGCTAAATTTTCCAAGTAAAATGTCCTTGTAACTGTTATACTCCTCCAACAAACACGTTTTCCGTTGGGGTAAACTGGACTGAGCGGTTGAATGCGCGGACTCGATCCGCCATGTTTTTTGTTTATTTTACCCAGAACGCATTGCAGTGTAGTCCTTCTTAAGATAGTCAGAGTCTTAAGTGCTTTGTGCAATGGTCTGATTTAGATGTCTATCGGAAGTCTGACTATCTACTATATCTAAGCCATAGTCAAAGTCTATCTTTGTCAAACCGGCCCCTGGACACGTAATTGACGTAGTTGTAGCTCATGGGCGGGGATTATGCTAATTATGGATGAGCGTTCACGCGAGCCATTTTTACGAATGATTGGAATTCACTAACAGACACACGTTTAGGCTAGCTATCAAATCGGATGAAAAATAATAAATATATGATTGGAACCCTTGAATTGTCATGAAAATGAAGTCATAATTGAATGATGGTACAAAACAGGCTTAACCTTTTTTCCCCCCATTTACATTTACCATTTCCTTTTTATGATTTTACAAATTTGTGGTGACATATTTTCCAGAGGTTCTGTCAGGGTTTAGGACAAGATGAAAACATGGATGTCGGGATCCTCAGACCAAAAAACGTATAAACAAGTGTAGACAGAGGTGACAGGATTCTGACAGGTTCACGTGACAAACTCACAAATCCATCAACATCAGGAGATGATGTATAAATAGATAGAGACATTATGAAGATGTTAATCAATAAAACTGATATCAGTGAAGGAGCAAAGCCAACATCTCTGTGAACGTGTCTCTGAAACAGCTGGTGTGGACTGCGTCACTGCTCACAGGTGTGATAGAGAGAGAGATAGCGAGAGAGAGTGCTAAAATATGTGTTAATAGATTGGAGAGAGCTCGGCACTGGCAGGTTGAGTGGCTTTGGGATGTGCTTCAGTACATCGGTTTCATCCGAGTGATTTTCAGCATAGGAAATAGGTGGATTTGAACCGTTGTGTGTTTTCCAGCACAGTAGATACTTTAATTCACTTCACAATGTCACACTGTACCTCAGCGGATGACCTCTGACAGCGGTCGACCTGATTGCTTTTGATTTCTCTCAGATGGATGATGTCATTGATGACATAATAAGTTTGGAATCCAGTTACAATGATGATATTATGGGACTCTCCTTGGACCCCGGACTTCAGATGGCCAACACGGTACAGAAATATTTGACTTTTTTCTATAACCTAACTTATTCGTATCTTCAGCTCTTGTAAATACTAATGTGAGTATGTGGAAGGACATGTACATCAAGATTTTGTGTAATAGTGATTGGCACAAACACATGGATTGTGCCAAACCCTTCAGTAGTGACTGAAGGAGTTTTTAAACAGTAGTAATAAAAAATAAAAATAAAATATTTTACGTGCAAAAACAGTAATAATACAATGAAATGTTTTTTTGTTTTTTTTTGGTTTGTTAATAGTGAGAATTGGGCCCTAAACTTTTTGCCTAAAAATAGTAGTAATATAATAGTAATGCGTGTTTTTATTTAATTTTGCCTGCAAAAAACTATTAATATAATGAAATATTTATGATTTTATTTTGTATTATTTTACTTTTAATTATTTTGCTTCCAATAAAGTAAACTGTTTATATATATTATTTTTTTATTCATTGTATATTATTTTGCATAACACATATGTATTTATCTAATTTTGCTTGCAAAAATCAGTTAATATAATTAAATATTTGTAATTTAATTTTGCCTCCAAAAAAATAAAAAGTTACGGCAATTATAGTGCTTAGCATAAGTGAACACACCCATGCTAAAGTTGACTAAAAAGAGGAATAAAAAATCATCTTTTGGAAATTGATCTTAATGCCTTAATTAAAAAAATGAGGAAAAATCCAGCCTTTAAGGACACCAATTTTCTTTGTGAATGAATAATGTATCGTAAATAAATAAATAAATGTTGTTCCTTAAAATACAGGGTGCATAAGTCAGGACACCCCCATGTTAAAGTCCCATAGAGGGGCAGATTTTTATTTTTAAAGGCTGGTTATTTCATGGATCCAGGATACTCTGCATCCTGATAAAGTTCCCTTGGCCTCTGGGATTAAAATAGCCCCAGATCATCACACACCCTTCACCACACCCAGAGATCGGCATGGTTGTATTTCAGTTAGCCTAATAGCTGGTTTGATTTGCATTGAGAGATGATCTTATGGAAAGTACCCCATGCCGATCTCTAGGTATGGTGAAGGCCTGCCTCTATGGGAATTTAACATAGGGGTGTCCTGACTTATGCCCCCTGTATTTTAAGGAAACTTTAGCATGGGTGTGTTCACTTATGCTAAGCACTGTACCTGTAGTGGCTAACAATGCTAACCAGCCAAACCCTGATCTCTTGATCTAAAATGACTCAAGTATGTATTCAAATTAGCAGTGAATTTCATGAGACTTTGTCTCTTTCTGTCTTCTCACACAATCAGAGCTGTCGTTGGTGTCGGTATTGTAGAAAGCAGTGTGATCCAGCTGTCATCCCCTGATCTAATGTCTATCAATGAAATAGTGAATTATAGTGATGAACATTCTATCATTTACTCACTCTCAAGTCCTTCCAAATCCATAGGACTTTTTTTTTAGTTCAAGCTGCTCTTTTCCACGCAATGACAGTTGATGGGGATTGAGAATGTCAAGCTTCAAAAAGGACAAGAAGAGTGTTGTGAAGCCATAGACGCACTTCACAATGTGATACGCTTCAGTCAAATGAGACTATGATGTGTATATGGTCTTGTGTTTCTAGATTCCCGTGTCGGCGAACCTCTTGGACCTGTACAGTAACCCAGGGATGCCTCCTCCTGGACTCTCTATTAGTAACTCGTGCCCTGCTAACATTAAAAGGGAATTCTCTGGTAAGTGTCGTTTATTTGACAACGGATGAGTCGGTTAAAGTCGATATTTTCGACGATGTGCTGGATTGTGTTTCACCTGTTAAAGTCAGTAGAAATGGCATGTGAATGATGGTAAGACTTATGCTCATATGCTACACAGTCACTCCATCCCCAGCGATGATGCACATGATGGACAAGCCCAGCTCCTGTAACAACTTCGAGAACTATCAAAGGCCTGAAGGGTTTCCTGTGGGTACGTTCAAAGACTCTGTGCCGTCTCTGAAACTTAATAACAATTTAATGGATTTGATTTACACATGAACATGCTCGTATAGGTTCATAAGATGTGTCAAATTAAATGTGTGTGTATATATTTAATTGCATGATCTAATCTAATTAATTACATTATGTGTCAATTAAATAATCGCACGGCTGAGAAATTACCCCCAAAAGATAAAGTCATTTAAAGGAGAAAAGCATCAAATATTTGTTTTATCAATGAATTTATTACACATAAACTGATTTTGAGTTGGTATTTAGATTTATTTACAGGAAAAACAGTTTTGGTTTCCAACATTCGAAATATCTTTTATGTTTCGCAAAAGAAAGAAAGTCATACAGGTTTGAAATGACATCAGGATGAGTAAATGTAAATAAACAATTTTCATTGTTGGGCAAACTATCCCCAAAATATGACTTTTTTTTAATGAAGTGATACTCTAAATAAAAAAACTAAAACTGCCAGTAGGTGACGGTAAATGTCTAAATGAGTAAGTCATTGAATCATTCATTCGATTCGTTTAAACGGCGACGAAATCAATTCGATTGATTCAGGAATGAAGTAAATGGCTCTCTTAATGAAAGGGTCATTAAATCAGTGGCTCACCCGATTGATTTGCTCAAATCACTGATTCATTCATAAAGCTCTGGCTTTACAGGTGGTATTTTTGTTGGAGAAATTGAGCATAAACAGGCAACATCGTGACTTATGGCTCATTTCCATCGGGCGGTACAGTATGATTCGGGATGGGAAACCCTGATCCGCTGCCAACCGTACCATTACTTGATAGGCATGGTGTATGCAAACTAGAAAGTAGCGACCGAAGTCATTCTCGCGCGAAGAAGAAAGTGGCCCACCGTCATATCGCAGACCTTGTTCTTGCTTCTCGGCATGTTGCTGTTTGTCACAAGACAAAAAAAGGTCATTCCCTTGTAGCACCTGCAAGTGGCGATTCTCTGTCAACCAATCAACGGTCTGCAGTGAGTCTAGCTCCACCCCTTAGGTACTGGACTACTGCGCTAGGCACCCCAACGGAAGGGTCCCAAAGAAGTGGTACGGTTCGGTATTTTGGTACCATTCCCAACTTCTGAAATTGCGTACCGTACTGTACTGTACCGTTCCGCTCGGTGGAGACGAGGCGTAAAATATATCACAATATTGACCTCTTATTTATTGAACTGTTGCCCTCTGGGGTTCTTCGGGTCAAAAATGACCCGAAGCGTTTAAATAAAAAGATGTTAAAAATCGTAGCTTCATCGGAATGGTCCAAAACTTGGTGACTTTATTGGTACTTGGTATATGAACACCCAAAAAAATTGGGGACAGGATTTGAAAAGTGGGCGTAAAAAAATAGTCACACTCAGGGTCTTCGGGTCTAAAATGACCCGCATAGGAAATGAATGGGAAATTGGCAAAAACAACACAACAGTGAAGGGGTGGAGGAGTGTTTCTACCATAGGTTTCTACAGAGGGCTGTAAATCCACTAGTGGTAAAAATGTGCTATTGCGTGATAAAAATGCTCAGTGTGTCCACCAGATGGCTCCGATCTCATTTAAAAAATTGCTTTCATGAGGCCTAGACTTGACTCTAAAATGAAATACAGCTTTAATAAAAAAAAAAAGATATATTATATATATGCATTTTCTATTATATTCAACGGGAAAAAATGGGTCTTAAGTATTGCATAAATATTAATTATAAATCATAAAATTATCTCAAAACACCAAAAAAGAAAAGAAAAAATATTATTGAATAAAAATATATTTCATTGATTTTACTCAAATAAAATGTATCTTAATGCCGCCCTCCGGGTCATTTTTGACCCGAAGGTCCTAAATGTGAGTCATAAATGAAGAACCCCAGAGGGTTAAATCAATGTCACATTTGCACAAATAAGAAACACAATGCCATGACGATGCATAAGAGCGTAGGCGCCAAAGCTGCTGTGGATCCGCTTACCAAAACCCTCTGTAACTGGCAGATTTAAAGAAAATTACTGTCATTTGTCAAATAAATGAATGACGGACAGTTGCATACGTAACACCAACATTTTTATCATGTAAGGTTTATGGTACACCTCAAATGAGGGAATTTATAGTAGTTTATAATGTCAATATTAATTAGTGAGTCTACAAATCAATGGCTTTGGTATGAAGAGCATTCATGGTACTGTATTTTATTCCAAGTGCAGCCAAAAAGAAAATCGTCAGTCATATTCTGTAGAGGAAGTGATCTAGATTTTGTGGAAAAGAGATTTGTGTTGGAGAAAATAAACGAGTTGACTGCAGTGACATTTCAAGGGTGCTGATCTCACATCTGTGAAATAAATAAACGTCCTGCTTTTAGTTTCTCCTCACACCTCCCTTTGTCTGTTTTAGGGGCAGAAGTTCGCGCTCTCGCAAAGGAAAGGCAAAAAAAGGACAACCATAACTTAAGTGAGTTTCGAAACAAGACGGAAGTCTTCTTCCAATTACCAAAGACAGTCATTTTGACTCGTCCCTCAGTTTGTAAAAAATAAGAAGTGTCCCACAGACTTTGTAAGTGGAGTACCTTAAATGTGATTTGTGTAGTATAACATGCATTTTTCCTCTGTTTCAGTTGAGAGGCGACGAAGATTCAACATTAACGATCGAATCAAAGAACTGGGGACTCTGATTCCGAGATCAAATGACCCGTAAGGACAGCGATGTTCAATAGATACGCAGTTACACATAAGCCAGATGAATACATGCTATTATTGCTGCAGATGCTGATGCTGTTCATAGAGCGTTCTATCAGATGTGCTGTTGTCAGCTGAGGACGTGCTTGTGTTCCTCAGGGACATGCGTTGGAACAAGGGCACTATTCTTAAGGCCTCTGTGGATTACATCAGGAAACTTCAGAGAGAGCAGCAGCGCAGCAAAGAGCTGGAGAACCGTCAGAAGAAGCTGGAGCACGCCAACCGTCACCTGATCCTCCGGATACAGGTCAGTTCAGACAGACCCCGGTCTGGCCAACACCACTGCCAGGACATGTAAATCTAGAGGAACAGCACATTGACCTTAATTACCCTTGAAGTACAATTTTACATACTTTTAAAAAGAGTACTTATTATATACTTTAAAAGAATATACTTAACCCTTGTGCTTCAATTGAAAAAAGTTACACATAGGTCCATAGAGGACAAAGATGTCCGTGTCAAAAAAACTCTACAATTTGTCAAATTTGAAGCTTGGCAACAAAGACTTAAGTTTGGTCTAATTTTAAAGAAGACCCTTGGCAGAATAAAAAAGTTTTTAAAAAAAGTGAAACCAATTTTATATATATATATATATATATATATATGTGTGTGTGTGTGTGTGTGTGTGTGTGTGTGTGTGTGTGTGTGTGTGTAGAGAGAGAGAGAGGTTTAAGTTTATGAAAATTATTTATGAACTATATATTTTATAAAATATGTTGAACTCTAAAACTGCTAGAAAATCAAAGCCATAAATCTAAACAAGTCGTGTTCCAAATTTGAGAAAGCCTTGCCAACAGAATTAGCCTGGTTAAAATCAGACCATTCTCAGTTGTAACTGAGTTATGGTCTGGCAAAGCGTCATAGACAAATCATTTCCAGAGGGACGTCACCAACGGACGTCGCGGATAGACCTAAACCCAATCAGAGCAATGAAGGAGATGACGTATGCAGAGCGGCGGAGACACATCTCCGAGTGTTGTTCTTTGCTCGGTTTTTAACTAAAAGGAAACGTTCAAATGGCTTAAAACAGACGCGATAGCTGATTCGAACGAGTGATGTTCGACGGCGGCATCCATCTTTGTAATGTAGGCTACAAAATCTGCTTCAAAATCCCAGCGCTGTCGTCATCGTGTAAAGCCCGCCCCAACGTTTCTGATTGGTGCCGCGATTTCGGCACCCCGGACAGATGGACAGTCTATCACAGAGAAATCACACACGCACACACACACACACACACACACACACACACTCACACACAGGCCATTTTAACCAGCATGTGGCGGAAACCGGAGCACCCGGAGAAAACACTCGACTCCTGGCTCGAACCGGAGATCTTCTTGTTGTGAGGCAACAGCGCTAACACTGAGCCACCGTTCTTCCCTGATTTTATACAACAGTTCAATAAATAAGAAGTGAATATTATGTTTTATTTTAGACGCAATACTGTCTGTTTTTTCCAACAAAAATATTACCTATAAAACCAGAGCTGAACTGTCATGCGTCTCAGAGCAACACACAGCGGTGTTTCGTTTCTGAATTAATCCACGTTTTGAGTGAATCGGTCGGGTGAACCAATGATTCAATGGCCCATTCATATAGAGAGCCATTAGGTGTGTTCAACTTAAAATGGTGCTGGACAGAGCGAACGGTATGTGACATCAAAGTACCGCGAGAGAGCGATTCGCAAGCATACACTTCCTCTTTAATCGCTCTCACCGTACTTTGATGTCATAGACTGATCGTTCTGTGCAGCGCCGCTTCAAGCCGAACACACCTAATGACTTGATCAAATCGAAGGAATTAATTATTCAATGACTTACTCATTTAGACATGTATCACCACTTACTGGCAGTTTAAGTTTCTTATCTTAAGTATCATTTCATTAAAAAAATAATTTCATATTTTGAGGATAGTTTGCCCAAAAATTATAATTCTGTTTATTTACATTTACTCACTCCCGTGTCGTCTTATACCTGTATGACTTTCTTTCTTTTGCAGAACATAGAAGATATTATGAAGAATGTTGGTAACCAAAACTGTTTTTGTCTGTAAATATATCTAAATATCAATTCAGATGCAGCTTCTGAAAAAAGAAATCATGGCATTTGTAGCCTAAAAGTTTGTGTAATAAATTCCATGTTGAACCAAATAAAATATTTCTTTTTTAAAGCTACATTTTGTAATGTCTATTTGATGCTTTTCTCATTTTACACAATAATGACTTTAAATTATTTTTTTGCGATTAATTAGATTCATTAATTAGCACATCATGTAATTAATTAGATGAAATAATGTAATCGCTTGACAGCCCTAGTAATTAAACATTTGTATGAATGAAGTTGCAATTTAGTACATTTAAAATATATTAACTTTAAATATGGAATAACACACTAAAGTTAAAATTATAATCAAGTACTTTACATGTGGTTTACTATGTTAGTCAACACATCAACATAAGCGCACTTCTCATGAAAAAAGATTATTAAAGCATAATGATTTAAAGGCACAATATGTACGATTTTTGGATTAAAATATCCAAAAACCACTAGAACAATGTTATATATTTTGTTGACGTGTGTACTTACATTTTCACAAATGTTTCCAACAATGTTTAAATCCAGTGAAATCAGCTATTTTAACCAGTGTAACGGTCAGTGTCATTGCACCGCATTGTGTCTGCGTCACCCTCGATTTCCAAATACAGAAACGCGCTACAAATACTCATAAATCAACCAAATACAGAAACGTGCTGCAAATACTCACAACGCAACCAAATACATAAACGTGCTGCAAATACTCACAACGCAACCAAATACAGAAACTCACAACGCAACCAAATACAGAAACTCACAACACAACCAAATACAGAAACGGGCTGCAAATACTCACAACGCAACCAAATACAGAAACGTGCTGCAAATACTCACAACGCAACCAAATACAGAAACTCACAACGCAACCAAATACAGAAACTCACAACACAACCAAATACAGAAACGTGCTGCAAATACTCACAACGCAACCAAATACAGAAACTCACAACGCAACCAAATACAGAAACTCACAACACAACCAAATACAAAAACGTGCTGCAAATACTCACAACACAACCAAATACAGAAACTCACAACACAACCAAATACAGAAACGTGCTGCAAATACTCACAACGCAACCAAATACAGAAACTCACAACGCAACCAAATACAGAAACTCACAACACAACCAAATACAGAAACTCACAACACAACCAAATACAGAAACGTGCTGCAAATACTCACAACGCAACCAAATACAGAAACTCACAACGCAACCAAATACAGAAACTCACAACACATCCAAATACAGAAACGTGCTGCAAATACTCACAACACAACCAAATACAGAAACTCACAACGCAACCAAATACAGAAACTCACAACGCAACCAAATACAGAAACTCACAACACAACCAAATACAGAAACCTGCTGCAAATACTCACAACACAACCAAATACAGAAACTCACAACACAACCAAATACAGAAACCTGCTGCAAATACTCACAACGCAACCAAATACAGAAACTCACAACACAACCAAATACAGAAACCTGCTGCAAATACTCACAACGCAACCAAATACAGAAACTCACAACACAACCAAATACAGAAACCTGCTGCAAATACTCACAACGCAACCAAATACAGAAACTCACAACACAACCAAATACAGAAACGTGCTGCAAATACTCACAACGCAACCAAATACAGAAACTCACAACACAACCAAATACAGAAACGAGCTGCAAATACTCACAACGCAACCAAATACAGAAACAAGCTGCAAATACTCACAACGCAACCAAATACAGAAACGAGCTGCAAATACTTACAACGCAACCAAATACAGAAACGAGCTGCAAATACTCACAATGCAACCAAATACATAAACTCACAACACAACCAAACACAGAAACGAGCTGCAAATACTCACAATGCAACCAAATACATAAACTCACAACACAACCAAATACAGAAACGTGCTGCAAATACTTACAACACAACCAAATACAGAAACGTGCTGCAAATACTCACAACGCAACCAAATACATAAACGTGCTGCAAATACTCACAACACAACCAAATACAGAAACGAGCTGCAAATACTCACAACACAACCAAATACATAAACGTGCTGCAAATACTCACAACACAACCAAATACATAAACGTGCTGCAAATACTCACAACACAACCAAATACAGAAACGAGCTGCAAATACTCACAACACAACCACATACATAAACGTGCTGCAAATACTCACAACACAACCAAATACATAAACGTGCTGCAAATACTCACAACACAACCAAATACAGAAACAAGCTGCAAATACTCACAACACAACCAAATACATAAACGTGCTGCAAATACTCACAACGCAACCAAATACAGAAACAAGCTGCAAATACTCACAACGCAACCAAATACAGAAACGTGCTGCAAATACTCACAACACAACCAAATACAGAAACGTGCTGCAAATTAGGGATGGCTCGATACCACAATTTTGACTTCGGTACGATACCAGAACCTAATACCTTGGTATCGATACTAAATCGATACCACGGGTAAAAAAAAAAAAAAAAACAGTCTCAAAATTTAAGTGACACTTAAAAAAACACTGCTTGAAATTCTCCACTACCAAATGTGCAAAGAAAATGTATCAAATTGTAAAAAAAAAAAAATTCAGTCAGGGAACATACAGTAGGTTAAATTTTGATTTTGAAAAACCCCCCTGAAATTATACAATTAAAATAGGTTAATATCTATAATAATAGATTCACATATAATAATAATAATAGAATAATGAAATGACATGTAAACCATTAGCTGTCATGCATCAACAGAGATTTATCAACATTTATTGCATTTATTCATCTTGGTTTGGTTACTGTTTGGGTTCATATTAGTTTAATGCATTGCATAAAGTAATGTTAACATGCTAAAAACATGTATTAGTAAATTTAATTTTCTAGGTCATTTAATTACTGATTGATATAGATAGATTAATAAATGCTATATTACTGTCAGGTTACCTAATGAATGTTGACAAATGTAGCTTAATTGCAATATTAGTAATATTCATATTACTACTATTACTCTCTCCCTCTCTCGGCTTATTGCTCTAGGGGTCACCACAGCGGCACTACTATGCCATTCATTTTACTATCACTAATACTAAAATTAATATTATTCACATTTTTATGCTTTATTCATTCAAATTCAATTAATATATGTTTGTTTGAAAGTGCAAAAATGATGAGACTAAACTTAATTGGTTCTAGCGTGTCATGCAAGCAGATTTGAGCTTTCGTGTTTACCCTATCATATAATTGATAAGCTCTTATGTATGTGCGCTGTTCGCTGTTCAATGTTCAATAAAAGTCTAAATTAAATCAGTTGAATGATGGACTAACCTGTCGATCTCGGAACTCTTTCAACAAGTCAAGATGAGCAACTGACAAGTCAAGTGCTAGGCAGATTTGATGTGTTGCCTCCCCGTTTGCAGAGTGGTGCATTGAGATCTGTTTCTTTACTTCTTCATTACTTTTGTTGGCAAAGTAATGCCTTATTTCACTCATACTGCTCTCTCTATTTATTAATTTCGGGCATGTAGAAATTCGAATGAGCTTCGTTTGATCCATCGTGTAACTCTGTTGTCACCGTTTGCCGGTTTCGCGTGACCCGCGTCAGTTTAGGTAGCGCACTGCCGCCTAGCGGTGAACTTCGAAACAGCAGCGCATCAAATACCGAATTGAACAAAATTATGATATTGTACCGTTTGCAATATAATATATACCGGTATTTTTGCAGTACCGGTATACCGCGCATCCCTACTGCAAATACTCACAATGCAACCACATACATAAATGTGCTGCAAATACTCACAACACAACCAAATACAGAAACGTGCTGCAAATACTCACAACACAACCAAATACAGAAACGTGCTGCAAATACTCACAACACAACCAAATACAGAAACGTGCTGCAAATACTCACAACACAACCAAATACAGAAACGTGCTGCAAATACTCACAATGCAACCAAATACAGAAACTCACAACACAACCAAATACAGAAACGTGCTGCAAATACTCACAACACAACCAAATACAGAAACGTGCTGCAAATACTCACAATGCAACCAAATACAGAAACGTGCTGCAAATACTCACAACACAACCAAATACAGAAACGTGCTGCAAATACTCACAACGCAACCAAATACATAAACGTGCTGCAAATTCTCACAATGCAACCACATACATAAATGTGCTGCAAATACTCACAACACAACCAAATACAGAAACGTGCTGCAAATACTCACAACACAACCACATACATAAACGTGCTGCAAATACTCACAATGCAACCAAATACAGAAACGTGCTGCAAATACTCACAACACAACCACATACATAAATGTGCTGCAAATACTCACAACACAACCACATACATAAACGTGCTGCAAATACTCACAACACAACCAAATACAGAAACGTGCTGCAAATACTCACAACACAACCAAATACATAAACGTGCTGCAAATACTCACAATGCAACCATATACAGAAACAAGCTGCAAATACTCACAATGCAACCAAATACAGAAACGTGCTGCAAATACTCAACGCATATAGATTTAGGAATCATGATGTTAAAATAAACACAATTGTGAGTTGTGAGTATTTGCAATGCGTTTCTGTATTTGGTTGCGTTGCACATGTGTTGTTAAACTGATGATGTTTTCTTAATTTGCTGGTGTATTATCTATTTGCATGTTTTTTCTTCAGTTGCAGCGCGTTGAGCTCTCTTGGCCACCGTAGATATTCCATAAAAAAATAAGAATAGTCAGTTTTGATTTCAATGTGGCTTTAAGATTTCACTAAAGTAAATTTACAGTTTATGTTACAGTTAATGTTTTGTTGTCTGTCCATTGCTCAATGTTAATCCAGGAGTTGGAAATGCAGGCTCGTGCTCATGGTCTGGCCATCGCCTCGTCTACACTCTGTCCATCAGATCTAGCAGCCCGGGGCATAAAACAGGAGACGGTCCTGGGGGACTGCAGCCAGGACATGTACCCTCACACGCACCCCTCTTGCCCTAGCATGGGCCGCTCCAGCACCCTAGACCTTAACGACGGCACAATCACCTTTAACGACTCCCATGGTACAGGCTCTGGCGCTTCTGCTGACGCAGGGGCTTATGGTCTCATTTCTAAGGCAAATGCCGCTAAACTTGACGACATTCTGATGGACGACACATTGTCGTCTGTAGCAACAAGCGACCCACTTCTCACCTCCGTCTCGCCCGGAGCCTCGAATGACAGAAGCCGTAAGGACAGCGTGAACATGGAGGAAAACGAGCATGTTTGTTAGTACAGCGAAAACCTTCTTTTAAGGCCGCTGGTCGTTGCGTTTTTCCAATAACGCAACTGATGCTTGGGATCGCTAAAGAGGAAGCACGGCCTGTTTTGTGAGTGCAAAGTAATATTATTTTTTTATGTTTACACTTTATTTTATTGTATTTTAACAGTATCCCACCTTTGTCTACCCAAAATTCATTGTGGTATATTAATTCAGATTATGCAGTAGCATGTTTGCGCACAGTTTAGAAACATATTTCTCTTTTATATGTACATGTATATCCTTTTAAAGGAATGATTTAAGCATAATGCTTCCCTTTTAACATATGTAGAAAATAGGCAACAGTTAATATCTAATATCAGCTGCCCATAAACACAAACCCCCACGAGATGCACTTAAAAAGAGTAAAAAGAATAATTGAAAATTCTGTTAAGTACTCACTCTCATGTTGTTCTAAACTATGATGTAGGTTTTCTGTTGAATATAGATATTTTTAACAATCGTTATTGTTTTGTTTTTTAAGAATTCATAATTACCATGTCCATTATGCTCCAAAAAAGATATCCTAAAATGAGTCCATGCCACTTTTACAAGTTATATGATATCTGTGTGAGAGAAACAGATTGAAATTTAAGCAGATTAAAAAAAAATCCTTTTGTGATGCACAAAAATAACAGCAAACCGGTTTCTGACAACATGAGTGCGAGTACATTTTCCTTTTTCTGTGAATTATTCCTTTAACGTAGCTGGATAAATCTAAAATTATAAAACGAACTAATTCATAAATGTCGCACAAAATTCTGTTGAATGTCGTTCTAACATCACTGAATGTTTAAGCAACATTTTAAGCAAATTCTCTAAAAGTCGCATCTTCCAGATGAAAACGCATTCAACCACTAGATGTCTAGACAAAGTGTGTTTGCTCTCAGGATGATCCGAAACTGCTGCCCATAAATTATTTCACTCAATTATTAATCAATGCCAATATTCTCTCAGTATTAATTTATTCATGTTTTTGAGAATTTTGTTTAGATTTGTTACATTTAATCTTTCATAGATTTGTTATAATACCAATCTATCTGAAGAAATATCAAGTTGGCACAGGCGAATGGGTCCTTAAGGCAACCTGCTGACAAAAACACTGTTAACTACACGGCACAAGCTGATTGGTTCATGTCACAACTACAGCCAATGAGCTTGCTGCTCAACATTTAAATAGTTGGTCAGTATTTGCTGTAGCAGTTTGCAGCTCGCTTTCAAAGTTCCTCTGAAACCCTCCGCCTTCCCCAGCTCCACCTGTATAGATCTGCTTGGTCTGTGTATGTATTGACAGTAGCGAGTCTTTGTACTTGCTCTGCAGCAGTGTTGCAGATCTATTCCGCCGAGACCAAATACATTAACATTATCATATCCATTGCCATGCTAAACTCTTCAGAGGATTGTCATGCATGTGTGGAGAGACCGTTTTCACACAGCGTTTCCAACTGATTTTCAAATGTTCTGTGAAATGTGCCAAACAATATTTAGATTTAACCCAGCAGTTTTCAAAACCGTTCTTGTCATCAAATGCAGTGCCTATATAATTATATAATTATGCAAACGGTTTTCACCTCATGCATTTCTTAAGATACCCAGATGCATTTTAACACAATGCATCACATGAAAGAATCCATAAGAATGTGAAGAAATCTATTAACACATATTTGATGCCTAAGGGAATAATCAAGTAATATTTCAAACCTTCAGATTCTATTGCCCTTAAAAACTTGTTCATTTTTATCTAACATTTTATTGATTAAATTCTGTTTGAATATGCCATTGTAACTAAAATGCTCCAGGTTTTCTGTTGTATTTATATATATACACTACCGTTCAAAAGTTTGGGGTCGGTACGATTTTAAATACTTTTAAAATAATTCTCTTCTGCTAACCATGGCTGCGCTTATTTGATTAAAAATACAACAAAAATCAGTTATAGTATTAAATATTATTCCAGTGTAAATCAGCTGTTTTCTGTGTGAATATATAGTAAAGTGTAATTTATTCCTGTGATCAAAGCTGAATTTTCAGCATCACCAGTGTCAGTGTCTTCAGTGTCAAATGATCCTTCACAAATCAGTATAATATGAGGATTTGATGCTCAAGAAACATTTATTATTATTATCAATGTTGAAACAGTTGTTGGTCTGTCAGTTGTACAGTTTTTTTTTTTTTTTTTATTCTTTGATGAATAGGGTTAGGGTTAGAATCTTTTGTAACATTATAAATGTCTTTACTGTCACTTTCGATCAAATTAATTATTCCTTGATAAATAAAAGTATTGATTTCTTTCCTCCAAAAAATAAAAATAAAATTCTCACTGACCCCAAACTTTTGAACGGTAGTGTATATATATAATTATGGAGAAAGATCTGGGATTTTTTATGTTTTGTATTGGCAAAACACTGGAAGAAAGATCATACCTTAAAAAAAAAAGCATTTTATATTTTGTTCTATCACTTGTTTGGGTTTTTAAATTCTTACACGGTGTAAATGACTGACTATGTTTGTAATAATAAGCTGTACTGTTACTGTATATTTTTACTGTTTAAAAGTGCTCAACTCAGATGTACTGATGTTTGCCTTTGAGTAGCATCCAATTTGTGCCACTATAATGATCATGTAGATGAAACTATAATGTGTTGTTTCATAGAACTATGCAAAGATAACTTTCAGTTGAGAAATCAACCGGTTTCATGGAAAAATGTTGTAAGAGTTTAGTGTAGGTAACATAGTCAGATCACTGTAAAGTGCCTTATATTACAAACCTGCAACTTAAAGCAATAGTTCACACCAAAAAAAAAAAAAAGAATATGTTATCATTTACACATCCTCATGTCATTCCAAACCTGTATGACTTGTAAACAAAAAGAGATGTTTAGTAGAGAGTTCACGCTGCTCTTTTCCACACAGTGAAAGTCAATGGGGACTGGGATTGTTACAGTAGTTTCCAAAAAGGACAGTTAATCCTAAATGTGTATTTAAGTGGCTTTGGAGCACAGACGGTAAAAAAAGATGGACGACGTGTCTCCACTTCCTCCCACTGCAGAAAAATGAAGCCAAAATATCCTAGAACTGTCCGTTGACATGTGCCGATTACGCCATTACACTTGGGCGTACGTCAGCATGATGAAAACTTCCTAAAATGACAGAAACCATCTTTGGAAAAAAATGTTTTAAGTGTAATTGTCTTACGTCCCATTCGATTTCATGGAGAGGGCGGGATTGGGACCAGGGGGCGATCGAAATGCTTTGGATTCACTTTTCTAGAGATGTGTGGAACACTTGGTTTGGAGCAACATGAGAGTAAGGAAAGGATTTTCATGATTTTCATTTTTGTGTGAACTATCCCTTTAAATGAACCATTCTCTTCTATTTATGTGATTTTAGACTTAGTCTTAAACTGTGGAACCCGGCGGTCTCTTAGTAGGGTTCATTTAAACTCGGGTTCGACTCGAGACTTGATCTGTTTTGTATTCTGGCTTAAACCTGTGGTGTCTTGAAGCACTACAAAACTTTCAAGAATAGTGTATAATATAAACTCCTTTGCCTACTAGACAAACTACTGAAAGTTGTCCTCTGAATGTAATGTTACACAGTGTTGACTACTAAAACGTTGCCAAATTCCAAGTGAAGTCTAAATATGCAGTGGAACTGTTACGTATCTCATTGTGGATTTATAGCAAAACTGGCTGTTGCAATTTTTTTCTGAGCAATAATTCAGACAATCAGGTAACAGGTAAAGCACAAGGCTCCTGTATGAATGCAGTGACGTCAATGAAAGGTGCCTTTAAAACAGGCTTCCATTGAACTTCAACCAAACATCTTTTAATAACAATTACAGATTGGTCTGTCTTTTATAAAAGTGTCTTGGCTATAGTTAAAGACGGTTTTTGTTTTGTTAATATACTTTTATATGATATTGTTTAAGCTTAACCAAACATTATTTAAGAAAGGACTTACAATAGCTTGAGATGTAGATTTTTGGTTGAATTTGTGAAACATTTATTTCTTATGAATTCAATACTGGAAGACGGCCCCACCTGTTGGGAAAGTCACCTTTCACTCAAACTGTTGTTTTGAAACGTGAAACTTCTACTGGGAAGCTTTATGAGGAAAGTAGCTGGTCACTTGTGTGACCGTTTCATTGTTGGAATGCAAGCTTGACAAGTGTATTGGGAATGAAAATGTTACAGACATTAAAATAAAACTGAGTGGTTTTCACAATTTCCGGAGTTTTTATTCATGATGCATCACAGATGTTTTCTTGGTTTAAGAATACAATCAGGCTTTTCCATTGTGTGATTGTGGTTTCATGGCAGTTTCACAGTGTTCATAGCACCATCTCTTGAATGCTCGACACACAATGCTGTCTTCTATGTCATTGAAGATTCCTGTAGGGTATAAAAAACTTTATATTAATTGTCTTTAACTAATACAATGATGCAATGCACTTATTGTGTACATGCATGTTTTTACATTGTACTTCTGTTTTAAAAAATACCTGCATATGTAATTTATTTTGCTATGATTACACAGTTGACCCTTCCCTTTACCTAACCCGCTCTTAAACATACCCATACCACCAAACCTGTCCTAACCCTTTTTTATATTTTTTTTATTTAGATTAAAACAATTTGTAACAAGTGGGGGCTCGTCCGGGATTTCAACCCGGAACCTCCCAGGCCTATTTTACCATGATTAGTTTTCTTCAACACCTAAAAGTGTTTGATGATGGTGGTAATGGAGCTAAAGTGTATTCAGCTGGTCATGCCATCTCAACATGGCAGCTAGGATGAGTAGAAAAAAAACGGCTAAGCCGAACATAAGACTTTCAATAATACACAAATCTTTTCATCATCTTCAGTCTACATTGAAGGTGTATTCAGAAGTTGTTTAGCTAGCGTTAGCATGATCTTTGTGTACGATACCACAGTGGTGTTATACACTGCACTGCCATCTATTGATGTGGATCAGCAGGATTATTTTATGTATAAATTACACTTATTGTAGTGAGTTTTAGAGAGTGGTTTATACAATAATTAATTATTTTGTTCAACAAAAAAAAAAGAAGAATCTTCGGTATCACTGCTCAGGATTTTATCTGTCATCTAATCTGTCCACCTTTTCCGTGTGAAACCGTACTGATTTTTACGCTGTATTTTTGTCTTTGTCACGTTGAACAGACATTTTCCATCCCCCATTTTCTGGGGACGGTCCCGTTTTTTTGTGTCCTGTCCTGGCTAAATGTCCCAGTTTTACCACACGCTCAAAACGAGCTTCCTTACCATTTAAATGACTAAAATGTATTTCTTGAATGTGTACAACTTTTTCACTTCAAACTACTGAATGCACCTTTAATGTTTGAGGGGCAAACATTGACATACTTGCTCTTCCCAGCGCTGTCGGCAGAGGCATTCTCAGAAGTCCACCGGAGTGCTTCAGTCGCTCAGTAAGAGACTTCTGTACTAGATCCAGAGTGCAATCTGAATGCCACACTGGAAGCTCTAGACTCTGCATACACACAATGATACGTCTTTTCTCCTCTTCTGTCAGAAAGCCCCTTTCATGAGCCACATAGACCATGAAGGCCATGTCAATGTTCACCGCTTCTCCATGCAAAAGCGCAGGAAGTACTTTCTGTATCAAAGAAACTCCAGTTAGATTAATTCTAGGCTGTGATACACAATGTGCAACTTTAGTTCAAGTCTTAATATGTAGAACCATTTCAAGCTCTGGACTGATGATATGGCCAAAGTCCACCAGCCTGTCCAGGTCATCCTCCCACAGGTTTGGGGCAAGTTCCTCCAGCATGGTTTCAATGGCCAGTCTAGTGGACACACTCGCTGCATCCATGTGCACATTTTCATTGATTCTCGGTTGGAACCTTGAGTTCAACAAACGTCTTCCCTCCTTCTGCAATAGTTCAAAGAGTCCTTTGTGTTTCATCAGCGCCATCTGTTGAGGATCACTAGTATTGGTGAAACAAGACCTCAATTAGACTTGCACAATAAAGTCAGAATAAACTACCATTCAAAAGTCTGGGTTAGAATTGTCAAAAAGTACCGACTTCGGTACCAAGTCGGTACTGAAATTTTCAAAATGTGACGATACAAGCATTTCCCTCTAGTATTTTGAGCGCTGTTGAATGGATTCTTGAACGCCTCTGATTGGCCATTGTGTTGACGCACTCAATACAGTATATATGTCTCTGATTGGCCACTGTGTTGGCCATCAGTTCAACATACAGTATATGTCTCTGATTGGCTATTGTGTTGAGCGCGTCAACACAATGGCCAATCACAGACATATATGTTGAGCGCGTCAACACAATGGCCAATCACAGACATATATGTTGAGCGCGTCAACACAATGGCCAATCACAGACATATATGTTGAGCGCATCACCACAATGGCCAATCACAGACATATATGTTGAGCGCGTCAACACAATGGCCAATCAGACATATATGTTGAGCGCATCACCACAATGGCCAATCACAGACATACACTCACCGGCCACTTTATTAGGTACACCTGTCCAACTGCTCGTTAACACTTAATTTCTAAGCAGCCAATCACATGGCGGCAACTCAGTGCATTTAGGCATGTAGACATGGTCAAGACAATCTCCTGCAGTTCAAACCGGGCATCAGTATGGGGAAAAAAGTTGATTTGAGTGACTTTGAACGTGGCATGATTGTTGGTGCCAGAAGGGCTGGTCTGAGTATTTCAGAAACTGCTAATCTACTGGGATTTTCACGCACAACCATCTCTAGGGTTTACAGAGAATGGTCCGAAAAAGAAAAAACATCCAGTGAGCGGCAGTTCTGTGGGCGGAAATGCCTTGTTGATGCCAGAGGTCAGAGGAGAATGGCCAGACTGATTCGAGCTGATAGAAGGGCAACAGTGACTGAAATAACCACTCGTTACAACCGAGGTATGCAGCAAAGCATTTGTTAAGCCACAACACGCACAACCTTGAGGCGGATGGGCTACAACAGCAGAAGACTCCACCGGGTACCACTCATCTCCACTACAAATAGGAAAAAGAGGCTACAATTTGCAAGAGCTCACCAAAATTGAACAGTTGAAGACTGGAAAAATGTTGCCTGGTCTGATGAGTCTCGATTTCTGTTGAGACATTCAGATGTTAGAGTCAGAATTTGGCGTAAACAGAATGAGAACATGGAACCATCATGCCTTGTTACCACTGTGCAGGCTGGTGGTGGTGGTGTAATGGTGTGGGGGATGTTTTCCTGGCACACTTTAGGCCCCTTAGTGCCAATTGGGCATCGTTTAAATGCCACGGCCTACCTGAGCATTGTTTCTGACCATGTCCATCCCTTTATGGCCACCATGTACCCATCCTCTGATGGCTACTTCCACCATGTCACAAAGCTCTAATCATTTCAAATTGGTTTCTTGAACATGACAATGAGTTCACTGTACTAAAATGGCCTCCACAGTCACCAGATCTCAACCCAATAGAGCATCTTTGGGATGTGGTGGAACGGGAGATTCGCATCATGGATGTGCAGCCGACAAATCTGCGGCAACTGTGTGATGCCATCATGTCAATATGGACCAAACTCCCTGAGGAATTCTTCCAGCACCTTGTTGAATCTATGCCACGAAGAATTGAGGCAGTTCTGAAGGCAAAAGGGGGTCCAACCCGTTACTAGCATGGGGTACCTAATAAAGTGGCCGGTGAGTGTATATGTTGAGCGCGTCAACACAATGGCCAATCACAGACATATATGTTGAGCGCATCACCACAATGGCCAATCACAGACATATATGTTGAGTGCGTCAACACAATGGCCAATCACAGACATATATGTTGAGCGCGTCAACACAATGGCCAATCACAGACATATATGTTGAGCGCATCACCACAATGGCCAATCACAGACATATATGTTGAGCGCGTCAACACAATGGCCAATCACAGACATATATGTTGAGCGCATCACCACAATGGCCAATCACAGACATATATGTTGAGCGCATCACCACAATGGCCAATCACAGACATATATGTTGAGCACATCACCACAATGGCCAATCACAGACATATATGTTGAGCGCATCATCACAATGGCCAATCACAGACATATATGTTGAGTGCGTCAACACAATGGCCAATCACAGACATATATGTTGAGCGCGTCAACACAATGGCCAATCACAGACATATATGTTGAGCGCATCACCACAATGGCCAATCACAGACATATATGTTGAATGCGTCAACACAATGGCCAATCACAGACATATATGTTGAGCGCATCAACACAATGGCCAATCACAGACATATATGTTGAGCGCATCACCACAATGGCCAATCACAGACATATATGTTGAGCACATCACCACAATGGCCAATCACAGACATATATGTTGAGCGCATCATCACAATGGCCAATCACAGACATATATGTTGAGTGCGTCAACACAATGGCCAATCACAGACATATATGTTGAGCACGTCAACACAATGGCCAATCACAGACATATATGTTGAGCGCATCACCACAATGGCCAATCACAGACATATATGTTGAGCACATCACCACAATGGCCAATCACAGACATATATGTTGAGCGCATCACCACAATGGCCAATCACAGACATATATGTTGAGTGCGTCAACACAATGGCCAATCACAGACATATATGTTGAGCGCGTCAACACAATGGCCAATCACAGACATATATGTTGAGCGCATCACCACAATGGCCAATCACAGACATATATGTTGAGCGCGTCAACACAATGGCCAATCACAGACATATATGTTGAGCGCATCACCACAATGGCCAATCACAGACATATGTGTTGAGCGCATCAACACAATGGCCAATCACAGACATATATGTTGAGCGCATCACCACAATGGCCAATCACAGACATATATGTTGAGCACATCACCACAATGGCCAATCACAGACATATATGTTGAGCGCATCACCACAATGGCCAATCACAGACATATATGTTGAGTGCGTCAACACAATGGCCAATCACAGACATATATGTTGAGCACGTCAACACAATGGCCAATCACAGACATATATGTTGAGCGCATCACCACAATGGCCAATCACAGACATATATGTTGAGCACATCACCACAATGGCCAATCACAGACATATATGTTGAGCGCATCACCACAATGGCCAATCACAGACATATATGTTGTGCGCATCAGCGCAATGGCCAATCACAGACATAAATGTTGAGCACATCACCACAATGGCCAATCACAGACATATATGTTGAGCGCATCACCACAATGGCCAATCAGACATATATGTTGAGCGCATCACCACAATGGCCAATCAGAGGTGTTTAAGAATCCGTTCAACAGCGCTCAAAATGCTAGAAGGAAATGCTGGTATCATCACATTTTTAAAATACCGAAGTCTTTTTGACAACTCTAGTCTGGGTCGATAAGATTTTTAAATGTTTTTGACAGACTCATTTTCATGTTAAAATACATTATAAATACATTCATTTACAAATGTGTACCTTCAACATCTCAGCCATTCCATTAGAAACATGGCGGCGTGGAAGAGTGCAGAGGAAAGTCCTGTCCAGGAACGTTGCCACGGGGGGTATGTAGGACCCTAGTTTATTTTTACAGTTGGCAAAATTGACCCCCGTCTTTGCCCCTACACTGGCATCAATGTAAGCCAACAGAGTTGTAGGGACACGAATATACGGAGTGCGTCTGCGATACAGAGATGCGGCAAGACCCGCGATATCCAGACACACGCCGCCACCAATAGCGATAATGGGCTCCGTACGGCGGTCAATTCCAAATTTATGGACCTCCTCTAAGATACTGGTCACGAGTGCCATAGACTTGTTCTCCTCAGTTGTGGGCAAGTGAAGGATCTTGTACGTCACCCCTCTCGCTTCGAAATACGCTGCAACCTGAGAGCCGTAAAGATCATGAACAGTCTCGTCAATCACAATGAATCGCTTCATTACTTTGCTGTTGTTCTTGAGGGCTTGAATCTCCGTAGGGTCGGAGATATGGCCGAACATTAAGGTGTCATTGCTTGCATCCAGAAGCCTCTCACTCTGAAGGACTCGATAGGTGAAGACGATAGGACTGACCACTGTCCATGTGACTCCATCTTCTGTGGAAGACTCATAACTGTGGGGACAAGTTCTCCATCATGTATTCAGTATTTCAGTATGAGCTGTGTTAGCAGTATAAGTGCATATGCCGTGTGAAATAAAAACCCATTTCAGGATACTTGTTAGAAAGTAATTGTTTTGGAAATAATAGCCTAGACTTAAAACAATACTTGTGAAATGTATTGTTTACAGACATTTAATTGCATGTCAGTTACAGTTAAATGAGAATGGATTATAGTTTAAAATTATGCTTTTAGCTTTAGAGGGCTTTTTAAACCTACTTAAGTAGGACTTTTGAAGGACTGGTTCAAGTTACTGCTGAATGTACTGACAAGCATTTATGGTAAACTAAAATAAACTTTATTGTAATTTCTATTGAAACTTGTGTTTTTAGTGTGGGTTATTTGTAATTAAAAATTTTAATGAATACATTTCAACGTATATTAACTTGTAATAATATTGAATAACAGTACAGTTAAAAATATAAACAAATATGTGCTTTAATATGTTAAACAACATATTAAAATAACTGAACTTTAAAGCATGACAAAATAATATTAAAACGTTGATTTTGAATGCACTTAAAAAATTATAATTTGACATTATTAGAAATAAGAAACCATCATGAAAGTGTGCTCTCTTTAAGTACACTTAAGAAGGCTTTTATTTCATTAATATTATATTACATGCAAGTTCAGTTTTTTAAATATATATATATATATATTTATATCTTTAAGATATGAAGTAGCTATACTACAAGTACAATTGAGTGCACTTATTTTTCACAAGGGATTGATTGTTGTATACTATGGTAACACCATGTTTTTTGCTCATATCGTTTACTACTTTTTGTTGCACCATTGGACATGGTAATACCATGTTATTTGAACATTTACCTCTGTTTCAAAGAGTTTGTTTTGTACATATGTACTATGGTAAAACCATGCTTTTGGACATAGTACCATGTGATTCTTTGAAATACCTTGCAATACCATGTAAATATGGCATGTGAATATGGTAATCATGGCCTATATTAAAGCACAATGGTACCAGCACCACTTTTGTAAGATACAAAATATGTATTAGAGAACTGTTGAAAAAAAGACTACAGACGGTTACAGATGGTAACACACACACACACACACACACACACACACACACACACTCTCTCTCTCTCTCACACACACACACTGTAAACTTGACCTCATACTTTCCAACTGTAAGGTCAGTTCTTAAAATAGAAAAGCATTCAAACATGAAGTAAACAACTCACTAAAGACTTTAACGTTAACTGATTAAAGACATCATTCTAAACCTCACTGAGAAATAAGGGATGAAACATGTTTCTTATTCAAATGCATCAATCAGATGATTATATTGCAGTAGGTCCAGGCTGAGACAGTAAGCACCAGAGTGGTAATTCATCGGTACACTCACATCTTGGCGTCTGACGCCCGTCCCTCGGCACACTTGCAGTCTTCAGTCTGTCTGCTCCACGTGGAGTCCACATGCACCAATCTGAATCCAGCCACATCATCACAGACACTGTCACTGATTTTTGAAGCATAAGACATGTTGAAGGTGAAAAGTGAAAGTTGGTCTCTTGCCGACTCGTACCAAGTGTATAACAGTAACTAAAGCCAGTGCTGAGGTGACGGAGAGGGTGGAACTGTAGGCAAACTATAAATAGATTTACATTAAAGGATCTGTATGGAGGGTGACATTGCGGCAGCACTGTCGCCTCACAGCAAGAGGGTCATTGGTTTGAGTCCCGGCTGAGACAGGAGGCCTTTTCTGTCTGAAGTTTTGTATGTTCTCAAAATTGTACAAAAAATTAAATAACAATCAGAAAATGCTGTTACAGAATACTATTTCTGTACAAAGTATTGGTACCTGCAACAAGTAGTGCATAGAGTAGTGGCCCGAAGTGATGTCCGGAGGGGATATTTGTTTTTTATGAGCCGACAAATTCGATCAAATCATCATATATGTATAAATACATTAACTAGCTGAGCCACAGCCATTGAATATGAATATGAATGCCAACAGATAGATTTTGTATCACTGATGTAATTGGCACACATTACAGACCACAAAGAGTTTTTTATTTAAAAAAGTGTTTTATTCATGCAGGATAATTAGTTCCATTTGACAGACTTTAATGGTTTCCAGTTCACTGACTACACAGGCCGAGACTGCTGGGGCAGTAGCATGTGAGGTTTATGAAGTGCTGCCCATATTGCCCTCCAGAGGGCATCAACGTTGACTTTTTCACATTTTTCATAAGTGCTGCAAGGATCACATTTTGAGGGCCAAACCTGTAAATTAGTATCACCCTGGTTACCCCGAGAAAAAAAAAAAAACAATAGTATTTTTTTCATTGGATTTTAGATTATTGCAGAAAATAAAATCTGTGACAGCAAAAGTTTATGATTCTTACCCATTTTTTCCAAGATAATCTTCAGAACTACAGAAAATTATTTAAATTTTGAAGCCTAAATCCAACCGAACGAAGTAAAGAGCTAAAAGTAGGATATAAACGGACTACACCACTCTTATACCTTTATAGATTAGTGTTGAAATGAGTTTACCTGTTGATGATGCCTAATGTTCCTGACAACATCTGTAGTCCTATTTAAATGACCAGCTAAAACCAGCTGAACACCAGCTTGGCCAGGCTTGAAGACCAGCTAAAACCAGCTGAACACCAGCTTGGCCAGGCTTGAAGAGCATCTTAATCAGTTAAAACCAGAAAAACACCAGCTTGGCCAGACTGGGAGACCATCTTTATCAGATAAAACCAGCTGAACACCAGCTTGGCCAGGCTTGAAGAGCATCTTAATCAGTTAAAACCAGAAAAACACCAACTTGGCCAGACTGGGAGACCATCTTAATCAGATAAAACCAGCTGAACACCAGCTTGATAAGGCTGGGTTGTTACCCACACCCACCATTTTTCATGCTTTACACATGCGTCAAACTTTTCATGTGTGTGGGTGTGTGTTTTTGTTTGTTTGTTTTTTGTAGTATTGTTTTAGTTTTGTTTATGGATGTGAAAATGATCCTACTTTAGTGAAACTTTTGCTTTTATTAAATTGTCATAACTTTGGTCATAAATGAAATGTACTTGGCCAGGGAAAAGTCGCAAATACATTCCCCGTATTCCGTCAGAATGAAATGACGATCTGTTCCTGAAAATGCTGTAACATGCTTTATTCTGGGCATGCTGGCCTAAAACAAAGGGTGACTCATTTTACCCTGGTTTACCAATGGCGTCACAAAACGTCCTTTGTGAGAACGAATAACTCAGAGAACAATGGAGAATCTCTTGTCCTGAATGTATTAGCGGTAGCACACCTCAGATATCTCCATCGCCAGCTCGATTAACTCACTGGCCTCTTGACAGGAGTTCATGAAATTACAGTCAAACTCGATGTTACAGCCGCACCAGTCTTTCCCCTTGGACTGCTCATCCGAGGTGCTGTAATACTTGTAGGAGGGGAAGCAGCGGATGAACGCCCGCTCACACACGTCAGGCATCATGGTGAAGATGTCACAGAAGCGGCAGTAGAGGCAAGCCAGCAGGATGGTGGCGCAGTCATCTGGATAAAAGAAAATGAACTAATTAACCCTGACACAAAATAATAGTTTGAAATTTTTCGTTTATTTCTCCGAAGCTGCTTTGGCTCTGTATTGTATAAAGTGCTATATAAATAAATGTGACCACTTGACGTGTCCAAAATGCACGATGACATCATAGTATCCCAGGCGGCAGTGGCTCAGTGGTTCATGTGGGTTGTCTACAAACCGGAAGGTTGGTGGTTCAATCCTCGGTTCCACCTGACCAAGTGTCGAGGTGTCCATGAGCAAGACACCTAACCCCGGCTGCTCCCGACGAGCTGGATGGCGCCTTGCATGGCTGCCGTCGCCCGTCGGTGTATGAATGAGTGTGTGAATGGGTGAATGTGAGGCAAATGTAAAGCGCTTTGGTGGCCATTGGGTCTGTGAAAGCGCTATATAAATGCAGTCCATTTACCATTTACAGCAACATAGTGTCGGCCCGGAATGTGCCGGATGTGGCCCGGATCTGGGCCGACACTATGTCATTAACGGTTGCATGAATATTTGTAAAATGTCACTTATATTCTCTAGCATATTCGTTTTCAGTACGCTGGTATTTGTGCACATCACTCAGTTATCATTACCTGAACACTTCTTCTTGCATGCATTATTTATTTTTTAGACATCCATACATCAAGTTAAGTGCTGGCTGCCATAAACTAAAACTAAGATGCTCTAATTACACTGAAACCGGCACGGAAATCTGCCATTTCGGGATGTTAGATGGAAGCTGAAATGAGAGAAGCCCAAAACACACATTTCAGCCTTTCATCAGCACATAATTCCTCAGAATTATGATTATGGCACGTGTGGCCATGCTAGCCACTTTGCACAGAATCAGACTAATGCCACATTGCAAAACCTTACAGACAGGAGCTCTCTCTAGGTAATTACATTAAGGGCTGTGTGAGCAGAAATGGAGAAATAAGTGGTCTCCCACAGACATTAATGTAACAGTATACATTCCCCAGGGGAGTTTGTGAAACAGAGCGACCCGAGTAGAGTTTCACTACATAGGATGAGCATACAATAGTGAGAGAATAATGTTTTAATATATCTCGTAGAACAGGTTTATGGTCATGTATCTTGCATAAGGCTCTGTCGCTGAGGGAGTGTTTTAGCATCCGGGTGTTGGTGTAAGTGCTCATAAAAGTGCACTCCGCTCTGCATGAGAGCTGCAAGCGCATCAGATTAACATGTTTACAAGTGTGTATGGGACTGAGTGATACTTATACGGGTGTTGAAACTACCGGATTTACAGTAAAGTACTGTAACGGCAACCAAAACTGACTATAGCCATGTCGTTTCTGAAGAACAATGTTTCTGAAGCAAACTAATAATAGACCAATGTTTCAGGCTTTATATAATATGTAAAGCCATTTTTTTAACAGTAAAACATCAATTCAACATTATTTTAAAGAAACACTTTACATTTACAAAAACATTTATTCGATCAAAAATAATGTAATTTTCTGAAATATTATTATTTGTGTATACCTAAAATATTTCTATTTTATGTTAAAATGTAATTTATTCCTGTGATTAAAGCTGATTTTCAGCGTCATTACTCCAGTCTTCAGTGTCACATGGTCCTTCACAAATCAGTCTGATATGATGATTTGATGCATTTTTTATTATTATACTTATTTATTATAGTCTTGTAATAATGTCATGTGTCTTTGCATTTCTAAACATTTCTAAACAGTAATTACAGTAAGAATATTCACTCACCTGCCACTTTATTAGCTACACCTGTTCAGCTGCTCGTTAACACACATTTCTAATCAGCCAATCACATGGCAGCAACTCAGTGCATTTAGGCATGTAGACATGATCAAGACGATCTGCTGAAGTTCAAACTGAGCATCCGAATGAGGAATAAAGATGCTTTAAGTGACTTTGAACGTCTGGTTGTTGGTGCCAGACGGGCTGGTCTGAGTATTTCAGAAACTGCTGATCTACTGGGATTTTCACACTCAAACATCTCTAGAGTTTACAGAGAATGGTCTGAAAAGGAGAAAATATTTGTGTGAATTTGGCATGAAAGCATGGGTCCATCCTGCCTTGTATCAGTCAGTGGTTCAGGCTGCTGGTGCTGTAATGGTGTGTGGGATTTTATCTTGGCACACTTTGAGCCTCTTAGTACTGATTGAGCATCGATTAAACACCACAGTCTACCTGAGGATTGTTGCTGACCATGTCCATCCCTTTGTGACCACAGTGTATCATCTTCTGATGGATAGTTCCAGCAGGATAACACACACATGTCACAAAGCTCAAATCATCTCAAACTGGTGTTTTGATCATGACAGTGAGTTCACTAAACTCAAACGGCCTCCACAGTCATCCATCAGAGCAGCTTCGGGATGTGGAGGAACGGGAGATTCACATCATGCATGTTCAGTCGGCGAAATCTCTGAGGAATGTTTCCAGCAGCTTGTTGAATCTCTGCCACGAACAAACATGCAGTTCAGAAGGCAGAAGAGTACCTAATAAAGTGGCCGGTGTGGTTTATTTATTGATATTTATAATAAACCTACAATAAATGTGCTGAAATTATAATTGGCCATTTGTAAAACTTAATAGAAGTAACTACTATTCATTGAAATCTTTAAAACGATTACATTTCAATTTGACCAATTTTATATTATCAATTTGCAAATATTTTATTACATTTTCCTGATTAAGTCATTTTTTTAAATCTATTTATCTTCAATTAGACATTTCGTTTAATTGATTTTAGTTAGTTCATTGATTTACAGTAAGAATTTCTCGAATTACTATTAAGTGGCACACATGGTCCTCCGAAAAGCTGTCTGGATCATAGGGGTGTAACGGTACACAGAAGTCACGGTTCCATATTGCATAAATTAAAATGGCTGATTTGTCACTCTACTTGATAGATTGACCAATGCTGCGCGGAAAGATGCAATGGCTGTTTTTAAACTCATTGGTTTGATTACCGTGATGTGCGTAGCCGAAGCTGTCATTGTCTTAGTTTGCGCGTGAGAGATTAACATGCGGTGACAGTGGAGGATGCACAAAGTTCAATATTACGCTTTTTCAAGAAATCACAGAAAGTTGAGCGAGAACTTCCACGACACGCATCGACACAATGCCAAATGATTTTGTCTCATTATAACATTGGAAACAACTTAAAATACTCCATCATTTATGGTCATACAGATATGAGTAAGACAACATTCGAAACTGTAAAGGGTCTTGTTTTTATGTGCGTACTCACAATAAAAACAGAACATTGCGCTTTTGTCCTGCTTTCCTTTCCGTGAAGTTTGTGGAGCGCGTCACAAATATGAATCTAAACTCGGCGTATCGGCTACTAGCAAGCTCTTGAGTGCATCTGAACTCTTGCTTTGGGTCAGTGCGTAGATCGTCTCTTCTTCTGCTGCTCTTTTTCGGGTTGTGGCGGTTAGCGAACAGCGTTGCATTACCGTGAGCGCCCCCTTCTGGACTGGAGTGTGTATCGCCTGTGACTGGATTCATCGTCTGACTGAACGCACCGAATCGTGAAGTCCGTACCGTGACGGTTCAGCACAAATAAATGTACCGTTACACCCCTACTAGATCATTTTCACAACTAAAGCACAAGTCTTACACAGGCATAGGCTACATCAGCATTAGGAAGAGTACAGTTAAAAGTTAAAGCGTCCAGGACAACTTCTACATACTGGACACGCAAATAAACAAGTAAACAGAGAAGTTTTGACACTGTACCTGCAGTGTCAGGCTGATAGGACTCAAAGGAGGTGAAGGTGCTGCTCTCGGCGCTGGGCTTCCCACGCGTGCAGAGCGAAGCGCTGGATCCGACCCACTCGCTGTCCCCTGAGGACACCATGGACACGGGCTCCTCTTCATGGTCCACATCTGCCTCTGAGATGGTGCTCAACCTCCTCACCCCGCTAACCACAGCTTCACTCATCCTGCATCCAGAAACCAGAACCGATATTACAGCAGATTTAGCAAAGGCACATGCGGAAGCAAGACATGCAGTGCATTCGGGAGGAATAAGAGCTTACTCTACCTTCAGTGTTTCCAGCCCTGCCTCCTCCTGATACGAGTCTATTATCCCTGAGAAGAAAATGAGCTACACACTTCAGTCTGATCTGAGCTTAACACGTGCCAGATTCAACCAATAGTTTGGCTGTACTATCTTCAACTATCAACAAAACAAGATGTTTTCCCTGTATGCAGAAGAATCTGCAGGGGACACATTGCAATAGGAGCAAAATTGCGACTGAGTGTGAGAATGAAGATGTGAATGGATTATCTTTGCAATAACCTGTACTGAATAAATTATTAAACGCCATCCACACGCACCGAGTCTCTGGATAGTTTCCAGCGTGGCTGCCGTTCCATTAGTGTTGTGATACTCTTAGAAACATTTTTTGAAAGTCTCGGTCTCCACCGCATTTTGTACTTGGTCTCGTCTCTGTCTCAGACTAAGAGGACTCAGGATTTTATCTCAAGACCACAAATGCAAGGACATCACTAAATTGCTGGTTCATGGTCTGATTTATTTGTTAACATCATTAATGTAAAACTTACTGCTTAAAATGCAATCAATAATTTATCATTTATTTCTAATGTGATTTCTTTAGTTACCAGGTTCGTCTCAAAAAAGTCAAATGGCCAAAATTCATACAATTGTCCACAAATTCAAGATATGATTGCAAAAAAAGTACATGTTTATATTATGACATTTCATTAAGCAATATCACAAGAGAGCTTTTTTCTCTCGCATATGAGCACGATTGCAAATCTGTGATATTTATGTTATACAAACGTTCAATACACATGAAGTTAATAAAGCAACTTACATTTTTGACAATTTTTTCAACAAAAATACTTCCAAACAAATCCATAGCAGGACTGTTGTGCATTTCCGAGCAATTAACACACTTCTGTGTTTCCCTATTAAAGGGATAGTTCACTTTGAAATTAATTTTTGCTATGTTTTAGCTTACCTCAAGGGCATCCAAGATGTAGGTGTCTTTGTTTCCACAGTAGTTTACATTTTGATATTTTTAGGTCAAACCGTTCTTGTCTGTCAGTCATATAATGCAGGTCTATGGTCACCACCTCAAAGAGCATGCACAGAGAAGTCCAAATTAAACATGATTTAATGACTCGTAAATGTAAGTACACATTGATGGCCTAAGACACGAAACGAGCGGTTTGTGTGAGAAAACGAACAGTTTTATATCGTTTTTACCTCTTGTAACCACAGCCACGTCCAAGTGATCTGAGGGCGCCGGCGCTTTGGTCTTTTCCGGAAAGCGCCGGAAGTGATCTCTCGGAAGTGAAACGTCACTCATTGTTTACACAGAACAGAGATTGTAGGTAAGACAATAGACAGTATAAGAAGTGGACAGAGCCATCTCATTGGAACTCAGTTGAGACAGTTGAAGCCCATTTTTAGCGATTTTTGAGCACTTCCGTTCCTGACGCGCAGACTCAAACCGACTCAAACTAAGCTTGATGACGTGAGCAATCTGTCTGACAGACGTTAATCTTCTAGTAGCTGTGCGTGAAAATTGCCAACGTTAATCTTGCAGAGACGGGGAACTTGAGCAAAGAGTTCTTTGGCGTGAGTGAGCAGGAGTAAGTACTCCGTTGCTTTTATGGACTCATTATCTATGGGCTTCTCCCTTGACGGGACGTCCCCCCGATCGCCTGCGAGCTTCTCCTCCTGTCTGTACGGTCATTTCTGTACAGCGCGACAGAGAGTCGAGTGGTTATGACGCAATCGTTAGCCTATTTTTTACAAAAACTGTTTCTACGGGGCCATAATGTAACATAGAAGGTAATGGAGCCCTTTATACATTGTCGTGTTTCTTTAGAAATAAATAATGGACAAATGGAGTCTTTAAACGCCTCAGATGTAAAGTTATTCGCTGTCAAAGTGACGCCAAAATGAATGGGAGTCAATGGAAATGCTAACGCAAGTGAAGTTCTGCTACAACATGGCGGCACCCGGCCGGCTTCAACTTCCGGTCGATGTATTACCCCCTTGGGTAAGACGGCTAATTTAAATGGTACTAATTTGCGCTTATCCGGGATGTCACCTACATCATGGATGCCCTTGAGGGCTAAAACATACCAAAAATTAATTTCAAAGTGAACAATCCCTTTAAATGAATCAGCTGCTTCAAATCGTTGAATAATGATTCCATGAATCACTCTATTGTTTTGTCGCCACCTACTGGCGGTTTCAGTTTCATATTAAAAAGTAAGCCTATCGTTTGATTTTTCCATCACATTTCTATATTCAAAATGTTATTTTTAAAACATTAATCGCAACATTATTTATGCAGGTGTAATTGTACTTCTGTGCCACCTCTGCAACACTTAAATGAATTGTATAGTTCGTGGTGTGATGGTAACTGGACTTGTCTTGGTCTCGGTTTAGATGGTCTTGACTACTCTAGGTTTCATGAAGTTGATTTAATGATCATTTCTGTTGCTGCATTATTTCAGGGATGGTTCTTTCGTTTTTTGTCGACTTTTATATAACTTAGAAGCATTAAAACTGAAGTCAACCGTTTGCGAAGTTTTGTCCAACTGAAGTGAAACTGGCCCAACTTAATGTGTGTGTTCAAAATCTGGCATGTGAAAATATGAGGGGGGAAAAATGGCTTCATACAACAATAAAAAACAATGACAAAAAAAAAATAAAAAAACTATTTTTCTTCCCAAATGCTATTCAGAACAAACTTTTTATTATCAGCTTATTTTCTCATTTTATACAAAGGAAAATACAATCAAATCTCAAGGCGCATTGAGGATGTTTTATATAAAAAAATAGAAATAATTCAGCCAAATGTGCAACTTCAAGTAAGAAACAAACACCCTTAAAACATCTAAACAAGCAGTAATCTGAGTCTTATGATCGTCAATGATTCATAAATATAAGCATTTTCAGAATTCGTTGATAAAAACTTGGTGAAACCCCAAATGCATGAGTAAGAGCAAAACATTCAGCATAATAACTTTTTTTTAATATATATTTTGATTTATAATCACTATTAAACATCTAATTTCCATAATCTCAGTTTTCATGGCTTCACAGAAGCAAAGTGACACACTTAATAATTTTGTAACAGTCACCTCATCTTCAGTATCACAGCAGTCAGAACGAAACCTCTGAAGAACACAAATCAAATCCTTTGAGAACATGCGCTTTTGCTGTATCTATGACATGTTCTGATTCTTTGAGAGCGATTCAAGTTAATTTACACGGTTCGACAACCGTCAGAGAAATGACTTCAGCAGTAAACACGTGAAATCTTTGGCATAACTGCATAAGACATAATCAAAGCAAAGTATAACATTTTTTACAGAACAAAAAGTACTTTAAAGTGCACCTCAGCATTGACAATCCCTTCAATAATTAAATCTCCCTTTTTAGCAATCACTGCAAAATGATAGAACACCCCTCATAGATCATTGATTTATGCTATAGCAGGTGAGAAGTTCTTGAATTGACCTTGAGCAGAGAGCTTAAGTTTCATACTGAGGGATTCATTCCAGCAATATCTTTCATCATACTGTAGCTGCTCTGTTCAGTATCAGTAAAGCACAGAATTTGGAGTCGAATGGATGAAACCGCGCTGCCATTGAGATCCTAGTTGTTTCATCTGAGCAGTTTCCCATCCTCAGGGAAGTGAGGTTTGGACCACATCATCCCCGAGGGCTGGTGGTTAGTGGAGTTGGCGCCGCAGTCGATGTAGCGGTAAGACTCCAGTGTGTTCTGGGCCGTCCGCACCATGTAGGAGGTCTTCACAGAGGTCCTGGAGTGTGTAAGAGAAGCCGTCAGGTACATCTCATGAAGAATCTCGAGGAAAACCCTTCATATCCTCAAGACTAAGACTTTGGCCACCCCTAAAAAACTTCTGGCCACCCCATGTTCCTTGTTAATGGATAACAGAGCACTATTTTAAAGTGTACGCATATGATCAAACATGGACTTAAATCAAATTTCGAACATTCCTTTCAGGATTTCCTTCTCGAACTCGAACACTTTACTCGTGTATGCGAGCTTTAATCGTACTGCAGTGATCGCTTTGAGCTGGAAATAGTAACCTTGTATATGTTTCACCATATTTTTCCCTTGTAAAACAGATTCATTTTGTAGCTTTGGCCTTACTAGGTCAACCCAAAGCATTTCTTTCTCTGTGGCTCCAAATAGGTAATCGGACTGTTTTCAATTGATAGGTGAATGAAAGTAAAAAAAAAATAGGCTACTAGCTAACTTTATTTTTGTGCTCATGACGAGAGTTTTCATTATCAGATTGTTTGTTTTAGTGGTTTATTATTACTTGGAAAAAAATGGTCCATACTTTTCTTAAGAGCCCAAGTCCCAAGGTCTTCTATGTGGCATAAACATTGGTGTTTAAATGTAAATAAATAAATAAAACATCTGATCTTACCTTTTTATATTCATATCCAGTTTAGAGAAATATTACCTTTTTTTTTTTGGTAAATATTGGTAAAAATCACTGTTTTGGCTCAAGATTCAATGACTATTTTGAGTGTTTAGGTTTTCTTTTTCTTTCACAAAGTACTACAGCTACGCTGAAGGAAACTGTTCCAAAAAGTATTGTCCGGACCTTCGCTGGGAAGGAAATATAGAGACCGGACCTCTTGGAATTTTAATTGAACCCCATTAAAAGTTTCCTGGAGGCGCCACTGCACCTCCAACGTTCAACATAGGAAAACAGCAAAAGAAAAAATGTAGTGCTGAGAAACTTACTGCATGAACACCACAATGTTGTGGACCTTGATGCTTGCCATGGTGCAAAAGGCACTGAGAAAACACACACAGAGTTGAGAAACAGAAGAGCAGAAACACGTGTCCATCCTAAAGGCCCATTCACATCAAGTACGATAACTATAAATATAGAAAAACTGTTCTAAATGTAAAAGAATAGCAGAGTCCACTCACTCACACCACAACTATAGGCTCAGCTGATGAACGATACAAACACTGAGAGCCAATCAGAATCCATCCTGCTTTGAAGAGCTCGAGCATTTAAAGCGCCAGGCGGCAAAACTGCAGCGTATGCTTACAATAAACACGATGTTATCATGCGCTGGTGCAGATGCTAATATAATTATCTTTATAGCAGTTATTCTCGGTGTGAACAGGCCTTAAGAGAACTGATATGATACTCACTAAACATAAGAGAGGCTTCCTCCAATCTCCACACTGACAGTGAAGTTGACCTGCATTTACAAACATGTTACACAACAGCACCACTACTACACAACACTCAACAACCTGTGTCACTTCTTCCACCATCTACACTAAAGTTCAGGAGTTAAAGACTGTTATAACGTTACAAAAGATTTATATCCTAAATAAACGTTCTGTTCCGTGAAGAATCCAGAAATAAATGTATCACGGTTTCCACAAATATATTAAGCAGAACAACAATCTTTTTAACATTGATATGAATCAATCAGAAATGTTTCTTGATCTTTAAATCATCATATCAGAATGATTTCTGAAGGAGGATCATGTGACACTGGAGTAAGACTGGAGTAATGATGCTGAAAAACATTTTACAATATGTTTAAATAGAAAACAGTTTAATATTTCACAATATTAGGCACACCTTAAGAACTTCTCCCATAGTGTATGATTGCACAAAAATATATATGTTTGTATTGAACATTTATGGAGCAACAGATTTTGTGAGAAAATAAATCATAAAATGTGTTAATTTTGTTTAAAAATCGTATACATGCATGAGGTGGAGAGGGGGGCCTTTAGTCCCACACACGGGGTAAAACAAATCCAGCACGGGGCAGAAGGCACACATTCTGGATACAAATACTTTGCTAAAATAATGTTTTTAATAATGTCTAAGTTAATCCTTGTTCAAAACAACCACTTTCGCACAGTTTGTACTATTTTCTGTTTATTTTGATGAATAAAAGAATGAATTTTTGTTCAATACATACTGTCATTAAAATATGTTCATATAAAAAATATATATATAAAAAATAAGTACAAGTATTTTGTGAAAAAGTGAAGATTCTGAAAGCATTAACAGAGATCCAATAAAAATGTAATATAGATTTACAGTAGTAACATTAAATTATATGATATGATTACTATCATATTTTTAAATATGATGGTTTCATTATTAATGGGAATTATCTGTAAGGTGGACACGCAGCTTGATGTATGATATTTCCCATCTGAATCTAACCATGTCATGTCAACAAATGGAAAAGTCAGATATTTATTATCATGTTAATTATTGTGTCTTCCGTTTACCCCAAAATACAAACACTGTTGCTTTAATTACCTTGAACAAAACTGAAAATCATTAAGACGACCTTTGTCTCAAAATATATTCAGTAATTTTAGCGATTCTAATTTGCTACATAAATCTACAACATTTGAAAAATCATCAAATATTAGATTCAATTAGTGCAGAATCAACTTTAAGCCGCTCCTGCGATCACGTCAAGGATCAGACAAAAATCCACTTGAAAAGCAGATGTCTTGGAAAGTGGAGGAATTTAACTGTATTCTTGATCAAATAAATTTAATCTTGGATATCTAACCATTATGGCCATTATGAAATGAAGCCGACTCATCATACCTGTCTCTGGCTGAGCGGCTGAATGTGGATGACATTGTCCAGCGGTCGAGAACCAATGACAGTCTTCATGTAGAGCACCTGACAGCTCACACTGTCCACCCACACCGTGAAGAAATTAGAGTTGGTGAAGTTCAGGGAGCTCTGTTCAAAGAATCAATCAATATTACACACGGTACAGACAGTATTCACAACAGACCAGTGCCAAGTTTCTTTAAATCAGTTTTCTAATTCGAAGCATTGGAGATGCATTGTGTGAACACGCATTTTATCCAGTATATTACAAGAGTATTGATTCTGAACGATTGTAAATACAATTTATTCCCATTGTAAACCTCATCTAAGGACGTTAAATCACCGTCATGTTGATGAGCACTTTGCTGTTGTTACGGTCAAAGTGGACCGTCACCGAGCGAATGCCGTCGTCAACGACCAGCACGGGACGTGGAAACAGGAAGAACGCCACCAGAACGGACGCCAGCAGACACAAAACCACTGACAGCACCACATACGACTTCCTGACGGGAGAACAACTGCACAATCAGCAATCCGTTTCAGGCTGTTAAAGGGATAGTTCACCCCCAAATGAACATTCGTTTACAAACCATCCCTGATGTGTATGACTGACTTTCGATTTTTATCGAAAAATCTGTATTTTAGATTTTTAAGGAAATAAGTCCATATAACATCAACCGGCATTCAATGGCATATGGACTAACGATCCATATTTTCCTAAAAATCTTCAATTGCGTTTATCTGAAGAAAAAAGTCATATACATCAGGGATGGCTTGAGGGTAATAAATGATGAGATCATTTCTATCCATTTAAAACATCCTTTAAAATAAGCATTCTGTTTATTAAGATACATCCTACGTTGTGGCTCATACAGGCAAATATCAAGTATGAGCATCAAGGCAGTTTCCACAGAGAATGTGCTGTGTGTGGTAACTCACGTCCACCGTGGCTGTAACCTTTGATCGCTGTAGGGGATCAGAGCAACTAACTCATTCAGCTGACCTGAAAGAAAAGCCTCGATTCGATCAGACGGTCAGATAACATGAAGAATCCTACCAAAGTTCACACGGTCATCTCGAAAACTCATGACCTCGATCAATAACCCTATTATGGAAAATACAAGCTCAAATGTAAAATGTGCAGCATTACAGTAATGAGAACTTTTGGGAACAAAGTGTTCAATTGTCCTGTGTGGCTCTAATATAGGGATCATTCCTCCTGGTTTTCAAGCTGAAATATGACCTGGACATGTTGTTTTCGCGAGAATCTTCCTTTAACACTTGTATTTTGATGTCCATACCTGATGGGATGCGTCCGGACCCCTGGCAGGTGGGGCAGGTGATGCTGTCTCGGCCTGTGAACTCCACATAGGGGAACTGGGCGATGTCCTCCTGTCTGTCCAGCCCGTCCAGAGAGTCATCCCCACCCATCAGATCCCCCTTGTGGCCCTCGGCCCTGCTGTGACCCGGGACAGGCAGGAGCGAGCGGCCGTACCGGCACACAGATGCACCCATGAGAAGAAGCCCACACGAGCTCCAGCCTGATACAACAGACTACACATATGATCAGCAGTCAGTATACACACACAAACATATACATTTTATACATTTACGTACAATCAAATCTCAAGGCAATGTACACATACACTACACACACACACACAAATATATATTTGTGTGTGTGTGTGTAGTGTATGTGTACATTGCCTTGAGATTTGATTGTGTGTGTGTGTGTGTGTATATATATATATATATACACACACACACACACACACACACACACACACACACACACCAGTTTGTCTGTTTAAACCCAGTCTATTATATATCCAGCTGACTGTTTACACAACTGTACACGTTAACAAACTACCAGCATGTATTAGGATACTGTAACGTTAGTTAAAATAAGTTTACGTTTGGAAACTTACATTTTGATTAAATTACTTTGTGGTGATTCCGAGGTCAACTTTATGCGAGTGAAAAGGCCTAGCTTACCGTTGAAGTGTACAGACGCACAGATGTCAGTGTTTTCACTCCTCTCGGAGTGATTCCGCTGTTTGTGTTTGTGCTCTCCCTCTCTGCTCTGCAGTCACTGAGATCTCGAGACTCCTGCCATCTGCTGCTCTGGAGATCAACTGCTGCAAATAACAAATCATTTACTCAGCGGGGCATTTTCGCAAAAATAAGCTGAGTAGCGTCGCTAAAGGTAGCAAAGCTAATTTAACTACATTAGCGTAACTGACTTCAATCTGCTGTGTGAAAGAGTCTGAAACATTTGAGTTGCCTTCATGTTGTTAGGATTTATTTGTTTGTTTGTTTTTTTAAATATGTATTTTTATTTTATTCACAATTAAAAGCAGGGTAGGTGATTTATTCCAGATGTTTTTTTTATGCTGGTTGAAAGTCTCTCTTTATATCAATCACTAATTTATTGGTCTAAATGTTTACGTTGGAAGGCATGGGACCATAAAATGTTCAATGTAAAAATGACCCAATCCATAGAGTTAAGGCTTAATATTACAGTATGCTTTTTAATAGTTTTTCAATGCAAATATGCGCAAGATGATCATCTTTGACTGTTTCAAATGTACTCAGCTAGTGTGAGCTGTGCAGGAAAACCTCACCCCCTGATCTCAAGAGGTGCACTGCAGTCTTTAGTGACCTCGTTAGTTTACCTGTCTCCCATGCCAGAGACGCCGGTTTGAGTCCCGTTCGAAGCAGGGTGAGTATGACCATTTGGTGCCGTGACCCGGATGGGATAGAGGGGCTCAAATCCAAAGAATCTCTCAACTACTTTACCCTGTTCAATCTAGAATTACAGTGAAATATTTGGCCTGTTGGATTTCAGCTGCTATGATGTTCTTAGTTTTCTCGCTCATTAAGATAAACTCCTTTTTATATGTTTTTGTAAAAAGGAGGTCAAACTCGGCATCAGTTCAAGCAAAGCAAGCCTTCAAACATCGACATGCCTCAAGACCACCTTCCAACAGTTTTGTTCCGCTTTTATCTGCCGGCAAAGTGAAGCATTCACTGAAGATATGGGGTTTTGATCTATTTAATAAAGCAAGCATGTGGTGTCGCTGATCAACACTCTTTTTGTGGTTGGATATCCTCTCGGGATGTTCCCAGTCACAGAAGCCGTTAATGAATACATGACTTTGTGATGACAAAAGTTTGCATGGATAGCAATAAAGTTTAAACTAAACCAGTTGACAAGGAGTAAAAGAATATACATACTGCCCCTTTAAGGTAAACGTTTCCAAGGATCACTCTGTAGCCTATACATCAGTATTGATTATTTTAATAGTTTTGTATGTATATGATAGGTTACATCTCATCACCAAAAGGCTGTCAGCAGGATAAAACATGATGTACTTCACTTGGGAAAAACTGCCTTACACCAACAAAACTAAATTCATAAATGTTTATTTGTTAACCGATGTTCACAGATTCATCTTAAATATAGGCTAATCTTTTTTAATTATCTTGTCTTGATGTTCCTATAAATAATAGTTTTTGTTGAAGTGTTATACAGTGGCATCTGCTGGATGTGTTGTTTCTGGAGCATTTCTCTGACTTTACACGTTTCCACTCAGAAATTCCTCTGCAAAGGAGTTTCGTCATCTTCTGAAAAGAATCTCACTGAAATACAAATATTGAACCAATTAAAATATTGCATATCAACATATCAATGCCAATACTAAATGTACACAATTTGTAGTTTTATTGAAGACTTTTCCCAAAAATGTATGGCTATTGTGAACAGCCATAAGCGTTTATCATTAATGTAATGTTACAGTTGGATACATGATGGGCACATTAGTAAAGTGTAAGTGTATTTCCCTTTTTTGACATGGAAATATATATGTATATATACATGCAGACATGCAGTAGACTTTTACTGATGTTATTAAGAGGTTATTTACATTAAAATACACACACACACACACACACACATATATTTATGTGTGTGTGTGTATATACAAATATGTGTATATATTTACAAAACTACTCATGCAGATAATATAATATCAATGAAATGAAAGGCCAATAAGTGTTTTAAATTGATACACTTTCATGACAGTTTCTTAACACACTTGAATACTTTTTAAAAAAAGTACACTTTGTAATAATGTCAAAGTACATTTAATATAATTATTTTAATAATATCTAGTCCTGTCTTAAAGAAGTGCACTTATTTTGATATGTTGACTAACATTTTAAAGCACATGTAAAGTACTTGATTATAATTATAGTGTGTTTTTAATATTACATTTCAAGTTAATATATTTTAGGTATAAAAAGTAAATTGCAACTCCATCATTACAAATGTGTAACTACAAATATATTTAAATACATGAAAAAACAGAAATGATATTAAACTATATTTTAGTTTATCGTGAATGCTTGTCAGTACATTCAGCAGTAACTTTAACCATATTTCAAACACAATAGAAGTAATTATGAAATTATATATAAAGATGCAAGTCCTACATAAGTTGTTAAAAAACACTCTAAAGTCCAACTAATTGCATGTAATATAAATGTAAACCATAAGGCCTTTTAATTTAATTTGTAACATGCAGTCAAGTGTCCAAAAACATTGCATTCAGTAAACATGTATTTTTGTATGCGTATAGAGGTTATGTGTGTGTGTGTGTGTGTGTGTGTGTGTGTGTGTGTGTGTGTGTGTGTGTGTGTGTGTGTGTGTGTGTGTGTGTGTGTGTGTGTGTGTGTGTGTGTGTGTGTGTGTGTGTGTGTGTGTGTGTGTGTGTGTGTGTGTGTGTGTGTGTGTGTTGTGTTTGTGAGTTCTCAACACATACCCTGTCCTGATCGAGATGAGGTCTTATCACTATCCGACTCATTATCATAAATGTTCTGGACTCCACCAGCGTCCTGCAAGATAAATATCTGTGTCCAGAGAGATCACCACAGTAAGTGCTACCCATGATCAAATCAATGCTGGAGCTGAATATTATAAACTGATGTGTACATAAACTATTCTTGAATCCTATTTAAAGGGTTATAATATTCTTTTCTAGTTAAGAAGTCTCTTAAAGGAATAGTTCAATAGTAGAGCTGAACACCCAAGGTCACTATATAGAAATCTGTAAGTTTTTAAATGTTTAACTGTGTGCCTTACAGAAAGCTGTGAGGGGGAGTCATTTATTTTCATTGTTGCCTGAATTATTCCTTTAAGCTGTTATACGGGCATGCATGACATGCATCTGTGTTTGTGGTTAAACATGCTTGTGTGTGTGCTTTGTAACTGTAGCCTCATAGTGTCTGACACATAACCCACTTCTCCATTGGCTTGCAGTCTCCTCTTCAGCTCCGCATTTTCTCGCTCCAGTACCTTATTCTGAACAGCAGAGGGAGATCTCAGACAGTTCAAGCATTCAAACAGACACTAGTCAATCAAAACCACTGAGCAACCAGGCAAGACTTGACAAGTTTTCAGTGACAAATTATGGGTGCTTCTCAAACAGAAGGCTGGATATTAATGAGTGTGTGTGCTTCGCAGTTCAGCACTTTGGAAGCTTGTACTAAATACTAAAATGTAAATGTAAAATACTTTATATTAAAAACCTTTATATTTACTGCCTTTCTTGAAATGCAGTATTATCAAAGTTAAGCGTTTTACAACAAAAGAAAAGAAAACATAATTCCTTTATCTCCAAAATTATTATTTTTGTCTCTGATTTTATAATGAACTCAGACAAGCTCAATGTCGACTCGTTTTCAGTCAGTTGGAATGTGTGCAAAGGATTGTGGGTGATTTAAAGGGACAATGTGTACTTTTTTGAGGTATTTTATTATCTAAAATCAATATTTTTATTCATAAATATGTCCTCAATGATGTATAAATACCTCTGCCAATTATCTGACTTCGTAAATGAAGAATTTATTATCTTTATGGGACGGGTAGGTCCACGGAGGCTTCCATGTAGTTCCGCCATCTTGAAAAACTATTATAGCAGAGAGGGACAAAAAGTACTTGGCCAACGCGTTTCCACAACGCTTTTTCAGTCAGAGCCAGCGTGACGTAACTGAACGCAGCAGAAGCGGAGGAGCAGAGCAGTGAGAGGCGCTTGTCACTGCCCCGGAGAGTTTAAAAGGCTGTCCAAAATAGAACGTAAAAGGAAACGTGACCGGAGATTACAAAAAACACGAGTTAATGTCGGGATAGCTTTTTAATTACAATGGTTCATGTTTTTCACAGTCATTAATTCATACTGTAACATTCGTTTGTCCGTTGTGTCAAGTTGCAGTTTGTTTGAAATAACAAACCTGTTCACCCGAAGGAAAACTCGACAAAGTGCTATTAGAAGACATCCTGTCATAGCTTTTTGGCACATAATGGCTGCCGTAGATGCAACGCGCATTTGAAAAAGCGAGGCGCTGGAGAGCACAATTCGTTTGAATGTAAAATACAATTTCACCGCTAGATGGGAGAAATTCCTACACAATGTCCCTTTAAGGATGCGAAGGATACACTAGATGCTTCCTTCAAAATGAGCTGAATGAAGGACTGAATTGAAGGTTGTTTCCCAAGGATCCTTCAAATTGAGACATCCTGACGGAGCTTGATGACGTGGCAGCAGAGACATGCAGCCTTACTAGGGTGCAGCCAGGGCCTATAACGAACTTTTTGCCACACCTACCAATTATGTTTTTTATTATGAAACATAGATTAATCCTTATTAAAGTTACACACGTTTTTTTTGTCTTTTCTGTTAAGTCTTTGTCTTTTGTTGTTTGATTAACATTAAGGGTACGTTTACACAACAACGATATGCTTAAAACGGAGAGTTTTTTTCTTTTAGTCTTCCGCGTACAGACGACACTATTGTCAAAACGATCCCCATTCACACGGATCTGAGAAAACGACTAAAAGCGCTGTATTCTGCTGCCAGGCCATTAGATGGCGATGAAACACTGTAGACTGAACACGTACAGTAATACACATGTGCATGACATTATCGTCTTCAGAGATTTGCGTTTTTGCTGTTCAGAGACCGTTTTCAAAACTTGCACTTTAAAACCCGTCTTTAAAACTCGTGTTTTCAGGCCCCCAAAACGCTGTTGTCTTGTAAACGAACGACCAAAACGCATAAAACTTTTTATGTTTTTACGTTCGTGTAAACAGCCCCTAAAAACACAGACAGCAGTAGGAAAGTTAGGCTGCTGTCACTTTAAGAGCGAATGCACGGATCTAATTTACTGATACTGATACACATGTGTTTACTTTCTCAACTGTTAAAACATAACCGACTGTTTACGAGGATACTTGACAATTTTGTTTGAATATGTCTGTTCAAGAGCAAGAAGATGTGAACGAGAGCTCAGGTCAGTATTCGCGTGCTGTCTGAGACAGATTTCTGGACGCACGCTTCGGATGTTTAGTAACGAATCGAGTTCCCTTTCGCGTCTTTTTGCGCTTGACTATTAAACTGGCAAGGCTTAAACTTTCGTGACGACGCAGAACTCGTCCCAAGTGCTTCGTTCATATTTGTCCATGTTTATGTTCTCTCAATATTGCATTCTTAGAATTCATAAAAATGTGACGGGCCAACTGGCGATCGACACTTGTTTCATAAACTCACCAACACTGATTTTTACTCGCAACTGGCGCTTTTGGCGAGTGTTCATTTTAGGTCCTGGATGCAGCATTTCTTTTGAAAAGCACCCAATGTGTGTCAGAGATGGTCTGTTTTAAAGGGATACTCCACCCAAAATGACACCATTGACTTACTATGGAAAAAATACTATGGAAGTCAATGGTGCCCCGCAACTGTTTGGTTCCAATCGTTCTTTAAAATATCTTCCTTTGTGTTCAGCAGAAGAAAGAAACTCATACAGGTTTGCAACAACTTGAGGGTGAGTATATGATGACAGCATTTTCATTTTTGGGTGGAGTATCCCTTAAAAGAGGCAAATACAACCCCTCTGTCTGTAAGAGAATACTATGCCATGAGATGTATCCTACTGTGGCCTACTGTGCTGAGCTCCAGTATTTCTCTGATGTGATCTGTGTGCTGACTGGTCACTGTACCTTGTGTCTCAGGGCCTCCACCACCAGGTCTCGATCACCCTGTAGACCTTGATTCTGCTTATAAGAGCGGAAAGAGTCGCCAATGATGGACACCAGAAGATGGGACTGAGAAAGAGAAAAACAGCAGAAGCTAAAAATCGAAAAGAATTGCTGGTAAGATTTAACATGAAGTGACAGATTTACGGCTGATAAAGAGGCACCATCAAAATACAGTGAAACCCAATTTTGCTGCATGTTCTAGTAAATATTGAACTAAACGCATAATGTGTCAATGCATTTAAGATTTCCAGAACTCACAAACTTCTTGCTCTGGAAGATGTAGCAGTGGTGCATGTCTGCCGCTGGGTGTTTGGCTATGAAGCCCAGGATTTTGGGCTGAGACGGATGAACTGCACAGAATGAAACCGAGGGCAGAGCACAGGAGTACAGCATGAACTGAGAAAAGGAGAGAGCGAATGAGGGTGTCGTACACACATGAGTATCACTGTCTGAGCTCGAGTGCATAGTCCTCAGGCACACCTTGGTTTTATGCTCTAGAATGTCAATGGCAGTTCTGGTCAGAAACAGATGTACTTTAGTTTTCTTCATTTTCTCAGCCATCTCTATGTTGGGATCCTAAAAGAGAAGGAAAGTCATAGTAATAGGACGCAGGGACACAGGATCGAGTTATATGGCTACAGTAGTGGCTACAGTAGAGGGACATGGTTGTATCACCTGCAGGGCTTCTACTGCATCTGTCAGAGTCTGCATCCCACCGGGACGGACCACCTGGATACGACCCAAAAACTACACACAATACCCAAACCCCATACGTGAGTGCAATAAAACGTTATTATTATTTAATATTATTAAGTACATAAATGCAACAAAACTATTGACTAAATCTAGGACAAAGTGATACTCACTTTAATTGAGAAGAATATTTCACTTTCGTCATCTATGTCACTCATTTTCACCACTTTACTGTCTGTCGTCTGTTTAAAAATGACAAAATACACAGTGTACTTAAGAATTATTTTATACACTGACATGGCCTGAAAATATTCGGACACTTCTGGCACTCTTTAAAAAGGCTTAACATTTCATTACATAATATCAAGCCACGAGAATATCAGCAAACAAATGCTTCTGCGCAAGCTTTTCCCAGAACTAACTTCCCTTTTATTAGTATATAATGCAAATCATAGGGCACAGAAACCACTACATATCCATATACATTTTGATCACACACATGAGAAACTGTAAATGAACTTACGTTTGTGGGAGAACTTTGTATCGCTGAGATGATGTCCTCTTCTGCTGTCTTTCAGGGTCGAAGTTGTGTGATGTTAATGGTTAACTATAAAACTTCTTTTCTTTATGGCACATCAGGCCTGATAACAAGTCAGCTATTACCATCTGTTGTATTGACATTGTGATGTCATAGCTGTTTATGAACATTTAGCCATACGAACGAGTTAAAGAAACACTTTACACCAATTCTTTCTTCAATTTAGTATTTCAAATTTATACTATAACTAGCGCAAGTGAGGATAACTGAGTTTATTGCAATTTTATTTAGAGTATCAAGAACAAAACGTTGGCTCTAACCAGTAGATGGTGCTGTTGTAGATCAAATAATGCCAAACTGTACTATCATTTAATAATTAACAACAACAACAACAACAAGAACGAAATCTTACAGAAGAAACTAATTTATAAGTCAAAGCCATTCAAGTGATGTAAAATGTATTCAACTAAAACTATCATAAAACCAAACACAATGTAAATGATATTTCCAGTGAAATTGTTTCTCAAAAAAGAAAAGAAGAAAGAGAGAAAAAACTGTCTTGGTAGTATATTTATTATCATAAATGTCTAACAGTAAAGGCGCAATCATCCAGAAATGAGTCTAAATTTAATTCAATTCACATTTATTTGTATAGCGCTTTTCACAATACACATCGTTTCAAAGCAGATTTACAGAACATGCAGATTTGCATAACATGTCCACATTACAATTTAGAGTGATCTGTTATCAGAGGTAACTGTTATGTACTGTATTTCAGAAATGTACATACAAATCACAGTTGGCTAAAAATGTATTAATTTAAACAATGTAATAATTTAAGGCAGAAACAATGAGCTTATTAAAGTAATGAATACTTGTTAGTTCACAAATGAGCATTGGTGCATGTAAATATATGATGAATAAATATAAATGTCTAGAGGTGACCCTCTACATATATTGAGATGTATTGTCAAATTATATAGAAAAAAATGCAGAGATATTTTTTATGGGAAATTGTGTCAGTACAGACTCACATGAGTCAAAACTATTTCATCTAGTGTGACGGGGAAGGTGTGAACAAGTATTTCTTGTTTTACAGGACAAGGATGTACATTTCTTTTTAAGTGAAAGCATACATAAAGTACATAAAGAGCTTTGCTCTAGGCATTTTAATAAATAAAATAAATTTGTAGGCAAATTTAATAAAACTTGATCTAATCTGGAAATCGTCTAATATGGCCCTGCAGAATGCTGTTCTGTAGCATGTGTGTTAATGTTCCTTGTGTACAGTACATTCATAGCCTGCATTCTGGGTGCCATTCCTGTCACTATAGTCCCATAAGTGAAACTACAAGCAAAAATACAGCAGAGATGTTATCTAACTCACTGGTAATATAATATCCATGCTCTGTTTCTTTAAGAGCATCTGAATTTGATTTTTTCTTTCTTTCCTCAGACATGGAAAGAGTTGAGCTCTGGATAAAACACACTGTCTATATGCTGGTGTTACTTTATTTACAATCTCGTTTCTTCAAAGACTCCTATTTCAGGCCAAATACACTAGACTTCTGGGTATTATTCAAACAAAACCCATTCAGTTTCTTCTTTTTTCAGGGGTTGTATAGCTGTTGTACAAACATTGTATTCAAACTTTAAAATAAGTCAGTCAGTAAAGGGTCAATTTGCAATAATGTCTGCTTTGCTTATAGCTGTTGTTCGTGAAGCATCATGCCCAATCAAACTGAAGGGATACGTGCCCTCTCGGATTCTCAAGCCATGTCCAGAAAATGTGTATCTTGCTTGATTATCATATGTACATTTTCAATTGGTCATTTAAGTCTTTAATATCGCACTAACATGTCACACATCACACTAACTACATAAGTACTACCAAGTTGTTGAGAAGTGTTTTTTTTTCTTTAGTAAATAAAATGTGCATGACGTTCCAAGGCTATTCTTTCCAGGGGTACAGGATTAGGCATACTAATGCATAAGGAATGATAAAGGGATAAAGAGAATGAGGCAAGAATGTTACACAATGAAAGCATGTCCGTGTCAGTTAAACTCCACTCAAAAGAGTTATCCATGAATCTTCGGAGGTAGAGTGGAGCCCAAACGCAGGATACACTGCGTCCTTGAACATGGCACTGAATGTATGAAGATGCTGCTTTCGGCCTCCCTGACCTGAGCTGTGGAATGCAATAGTTCCTCCTTCGTAATCCAGGGTCGCTTCGACCCTCTTTGGCGGCATGATCAGCCCGTCACCCACGGCCACATTAGCCGAGTCATGGCACGCCGTCAGCTTCTTGCTCTTCCACTGCAACCTCCAAGAGCTGGTGTTGTGCCCCAGCCTGCTGTGGTCACCTTTACGTGGGATGCTTTTATAGCACAGTCCCACAGACCACGCACACCCGGGGCCGAACTCCACCACCCACATGTGAACTCCGGTGGAGAAACCCTGCGAGCACAAGACCTGACTGGCCGAGGAGAAGCGCTCACTGTGATCTCCAGCACTACTGCTCTTAACTCCTGCACACTGCTTGACTGTTTTGAGATCGGTGGACAGCAGAAGGCTGGGGTTGGCCGTGGTTGAGTTGAAGGTCAGATCTAGAGGGTTCATTATGCCATGGAGGCACTCCAACAGAAGACTCATCTCGACGTGGAAGGCGTCTGTACGTAGGAGAGCGCGCAGGTGCTTGGCATCGGAGGACTCTTGGGAAGGTAGACCGGGAATGGTGACGTTAGCAGCCTGGCGGACCCTTGCTTCAACGGTGAGGTAGTTCTGGATGAAGAGAAACTCTGAGGATTGATTGAGAACCTCGCTGGTGCACTGCTGGGCTTCCTGCAGCTGGTGTAGACAACTCTCCAAATCGCATAGATTGGCCTGCCAGCTTTTGTCCCGCGTATGAAGCTTGTCATCCATCTCGGTGCTCATACGATTCTTAAAACATCACATATAAACAGTGTTAATGTGCTTTACCTCAACATGACTGTATGTCATCAGCACTGGTCTAGATCTGTTGCTCTCAACATAAGTGAGAGTGACATTTATTTGGCAATACTACTAAAATAAGAAGAGACCACCTCACACACACACATTGGGCCCTATCATACACCTGGCGTAATGCGGCGCCAGGCGCGACACATGTGTTTTTTGCTAGTTTCAGCCTGACGCAGTTATCATTTTCACGTCCTACGCCACGGTGTTTAAATAGCAAATGCATAAAATGTCATGGTGCTGGTCTACTCTGAAAACGAGGTGTGTTCAGGCGCATTGTTGGCGCGTTGCTATTTTGAGGCAACTGAAATGGAAGCTTTAGCGTTAATTAGCGTTAACTTATTACCTTCTCATCTATCCAATCGTGTCTAATACTTGCGGTATAAAAGACCAGTACTTACACATGTTTGAGTTCGCAGATGCTGACGCTTTCATTCACCTCCATCCTCCCCACCACCACCAGGATGGTCCCTTCCCCTCCATCCTCCCCACCACCACCAGGATGGTCCCTTCCTATACCTCACAGGGGGTCGGCTGCGCCCCTGCTTTCGTCTTCAGGCAGGAAATGCAGAGTCCGGACCCTCGGATTGCGAGCTATGGACGGGGCCTATGCCAAATAACTTTATTGCTTGCTGGGCTATCAATAAATGTATTTATTGTTATTGTTACAGTTCTCCCGAGTCTTTCTGGTAGAAATAGACTGCACGATTGACCAACTGAAATCTGGTTTAAAGTCAATGGCGCAGTATTTTTTTTGTTATTTAATGAGCATGTTAGTAATGTGAGCCTATAGGCGGGTCCACAACAAGCATACACTCTGCTTATTACACACACTGGCCACACAAACATGCCAAATATATTAAAAACAAAAGGAATACAATGTAAAAGATTAATATTGTGTACATAAAGATATGGTGGAATCCGGCTTGTCCCGTAGATGGCCTGCTTGTGCTTTAACCTCGCGCACGAGCAGAGCCGTCTCCTCTCTGAAGAAACGTTCAGTCTTCCCACTTACAAATCCCTCCATGGAAATAGCGAATCCGCCATGGCGCGAGCGCAACTGGCTTTTAAAGGGAGTGGGAGATGAGACTCTGATTGGTTTATTGCACGTTACGCCCAAAGCCCACCCATTACTCATTAAGAGAATAGGAACAACCCTTTTAGACCATGCGCCGGGTGTGCCGACCATTTTTCCCGTCGTTAAACTAGCAAAAGTGGATTCGGACATGCTCTAAGTGCACTTGCGCCATGCGCTTAGATCGTTAAAATAGGGCCCATTTTGTCTAAACACATCAAACTGAACTAGTTAAAGTGGCACGATTGTACCTAGCTTTTTATCATTCTTACCTTGTATGTAGTTATAAGTGAAGTCATGTTGTCCAGCAGTATGTTTGCCCTGGCCACCAGCTTATCTTCGGCCTTGTCTGGAGGTCCTCCGTTGGCGCTTTTCACCAGAGCTTCTGTCATCTGTAGCTTGTCAGACACAGACTTCCCCAGTTCCTCAAGAATTCTCGTCATTTCCCCCTTCGCCACCTCGAACGTCTGCACCTCGTGGTGCTGGTGCGTGCCCTCCATCAAGCACTCGGAGCAGAGGAACAGGCACTCCTGCACGCACAGGTACTCCGTGACCTTTAAGTGCACCGGGCACCTCTTCCCATGCCGTTCTGCGGGCAGTCCCACTAAGACGTGTAGCGATCTGTGTCGTTCCTCGTGTCTCTTGAGGTGGCTGGGGCACAATGACATTTCACAGCGTGTGCAGAATTTCACGGCAGCCACTGGCTCGTCCAGGCAATGGTCGCATGGCACCGTCGGGCCTCCTCTCAGTCCGCCGCCCGAAGTGGCCGCCAGGAACCCATCCACGATACCGTTGAGCTTGAAGTTCTTGGGAAGAGTCTCCGGGCTGCCGTACTCTTCCCTGCACTCCGGACAACGTTTCGGGGACTTGGGATCTTCTGCGTGCGCAGCATTTTGTATACAACCCAGGCAGTAATTGTGTCCACAAGGAAGGGTTACGGGATCACGGTACAGCTGCAAACAGATCGGACAGCTCAACTCCAAAGCAAGACGCTCCTCAGGTTTACTTAGAGACATGTCTACAGGTTCGTAGTGAAGGCACTTCTGTGGGTTGACTTCGAGAACTGAGGGATATCAGAGCGGTTACTGGTCTAGCTTGTTCTGAGCCTGTACTGCAACATTCCAGGTACAGTCGGCATTGCCGAGAAATGCAATTGGTTCAACCAGCAACACGAGAATGCTTTATAGCAACTTACAAGATGTTTATGGGTGAAACAACAACCTCTAATGGAAAATTAAAAATGGATAAAGGAAGCGCTGTGGGTATCCGTGCATGTTGATTAGAACCAAGGGAACCAGAGGAACAAAATAATAATGAAAGCAAAGTTTTTACAAAGAACATGTGCCATGCTTCTTGATGTTAATGGTAAACACTAATTCCTCCGTGTGAGGCTCCTTTTGTGCCACATCTGAAAACCTTGAGAGTGCTTCATCCTGTTGCGCAAACCAGAAAAGTTTGGTACTTGTGTCAAGGAAAGGATCTGACTGTCTGAAACTGACAGTCACGCTATGGCCCCTTTGAGAGGGAATCGAAATCAAATGCTTTTGATTGTGCTGAAATAGATTAGGACATAATGCTTCACTTTCACCACTTAAATGCGTCTCTTGTATTAATCACAGATTGTATTGTAAAGATGAACAAATACGTTTGCTCATGACACATGGGCTTTTTAAATAGGTAACATGACATGTATTTCACTATCAGTCCTGTCAGGACACGTCAAAAGACTAAAGTTTGCAAAGCGCCAAATGTAAGTGCATTACATGTCTACAGAAAACCTCAAGACTCAGATAAGTGCTCAAGTATCTTTTTAAGATAAGTCAGACAACTGAAGCTCACTCAGGGAAGCCTCCCATCTGTAGGATATCGCAAATCTCCCGGAAGTCTTACTGTCATTTGATTTGTGGGAGACGTCCGGGTGTTGTGATCAAAGAGTAAAATCCTCTCACTGTTGTAATCTTGTGAGATTCAGAAAGAATGTGAAACTGCTGCAGGGAATCTTCAACCAAAGCCATGGTGAGATATGTACAAAAGCAGAATGATAATAGCAGGAGAACAACGCAGATTTGCTCATGCAAAGCTGGGCATCAGGTTCAGTCCCCCGGTTTGAATTGAAACTTGTCTTTCAAAACTTAAATGACTTTTTGTCCAAAATCTGCATTTTCCAATCAGGAAACCAGCTGCAACCAGCCGCCTGAAATATATCCTTGGTCCATTTTCTTCACAGAGTTGGGCGTTAAGGAGCAGCTGGGAGTGAAGGCAGAACGCCGTTCTCACTGTCATACATGTCTGCCATCTTGTGGTCTGATACATATCTGATGCATCACAATACACACTGCGTGGTCATATGAAAGAATAATATTTCTTTAATCAGTTGATTTCTGTTTTATTTAGAACTCTTTTAGAGGATCACATAGAGGAAGGGTTCCAAAGTCTGAGATCACTAGAGAAAATGCCTCCATTTTGCAATCATTTCTAATTTATTAATAATAAAATCAATATGGGTAAAAAGTTGGTTTGAAAAACCAACATGATTTTCAGACATGTACAAATCTTTTTGATTTGATTTGATAACGATCCAAAGAGCATCTTGTGGATTTAGTGGAAGCAGGAACATCTGCTCGTCTGTACAAAGAGATTCACAAATATTTCGTCATGTTTGGTTTATTTTCAGGTTTAAAGTCAACAAAATCCTAGTTTTTCAACGTGGACTCATTATGTGTCCAAATGTTCCCACAAATATAAAACCTACATTTGTAATGAGGAAAACTAGAGACTAAATTTGGCATTGTCTAATTTTACATTTGCCAAATGTTTAGGGATTAGGGTTAGTCTATAGTAATTTGCTCAATTTCAAGTCAACAGGAAGTCTTACTATGATATAAAAAAGCAAATGTGCATGTGTTGTGTGTGTATTAACCACAGTTATAAGAAGGATGGAATTGTAATTCTCCTTTAGCCCCAGTTTAAACAGGGGTTCAGTATTCAAAGAGGCCTTTCCTTTCCTCAGTGCTTGTTAAAGCATCCGTGGGCTCTGCAGGTAATAGGGGACCCTAACCCAGCAATAACGTCCACTTTGAAGTGGAAACGCTATTAAATCAACGTATGGCTCCCCTCCTCCCACAGGAACAAACATGAGCCCGACGGAGCAGGCCCTTTCCCCACAAGCTACCACACAGTGCTGCCTCTTAAATTTAATTAGGCTGTAATAAAAAAATTCTGAAACAAAGGTGCGCTAGACTGCAGTGCATTCAGGGAAACAATTCTGTGTTCATTCTTTGTAGTTTAACCTTTTTGATGGCGTCTTATATGTCAGACTTGGTCCTTAGAGGTTTGCAAAGTGCTTAAAGGGATAGTTTGCTCAAAAAAGGAATATTCTGTCATTGTTTATTCACCGTCATGTCGTCTTAAACCCAAAATGACTTTGTTTCTTCTGTGGAACATATAAGAAGATATTTTTGAAGAATGTTGGTAGGCAAAGCGGTTTGGTGACCATTGACTCCCATTGTATATACAAAAAACACAGACATATTTCAAAATATCTTCTTTATGTTCCTCAGAAGAAAGAAAGTCATATATGCTTGAAACAATAAGGGTGAGGAAATTAGAACAGAATTCACATTTTTGCAATAAAAAATTTGAATCAAGTTGTACATTTTTATTTGAAAACTGATGTCTTGTCCATTGCAGGTGGCATGATGAACTTTGCTGATTTTAATGTGTGTGTGTGTGTGTGTGTGTGTGTGTGTGTGTGTGTGTGTGTACAGGGAAATCAGATTTTATAGATTTTGATTTATATAAAATATTGGTATTGCATATGTCAAGACAAATGTGATTTTAAAATATATACTATTATGCAATAAGTCCAAAATTACAGAAGTTTTGTTTAAAAAAACCCCAGTTCATATTGGTTTTTAAATAGTGTTGGTGTATATGAATCCTCTGTTCATCAACCATAAATTCAAGTTTCCCTTGTGCTAGCTGGGCTGTTAATAGCACAGTTTTGCTCATCATCCTGATTGCTGGAAGATTGAAGTGACACATTAGTGATAAAGGGTATCGGACATATGGTGTGATGGGGTTATTGGAAGAATCTTCCGGCCTGGCAGTTATTTTTGTTCAATAGCATTTACATAAGACTTGAATGAAAAGAACCCATCTTGAATCGGGCAGAAACCAGATGCCCATGCAGACATTAAAAGGTCCTTTGGAGACGCAGCTTCAAAACGAATTTAAGGAAATTCCGCCTGTGCGGAACAAAAGCCCAAAGCTATTTATCCAATATCCATCAGAATTTACAGATCTGTTTAGATCTTTAAAAGTGTGTCTGTGCCGTGTGACTTTGCTTTAGTTTGATGTTTGGTCAGCTAATGAAGATCAAGTTTATGATGCCTTTGGCATTTTAATGCTTTGAACGCTAATAATTAAGCTGGTTTAGAATGTAAATATACTTCATGAGCTCAGAATCAGGGTTGTTTCATTTCATGAAAGTCTGTATTTATTTATAAGAGCATTATTTATGGATCTATGAATGTTCAGAGCAGTCCGATAGTGGACACAAATGCCAACTTGCTTTTGAATTACAAAAACAATTAAAAGGCTTTAAACCAAGGATTGTTCATAGTGTTCTATGAAAGGAATAGTTTACCAGCAAAAAACTGTCAATAAAATCAGTTTATATGTCCATATGAAGCCATTCCATATCATTTTTTTTTTTTTTTTTTTTTTTAAGATCTGTGTGAAGATTCTTTCAACTTTCCACCAACAAAATAGCAGCAATGCTGGAATAAGATGAAGGTGAGTAAATAATGACAAGATTTATATATATTTTTTTTTTTGGACTATTGCTTTAAAAATAACGCCTCCTTTTCTTGCCGTAGAGGTCAGACGTAGATTTCTCATGACCTGGAACTGGCTCGATCTCACCTTTTCGCTGATCCCAGCACGACCTCTTGCAGAAACACCTCCATGTTAGGCAGAAGCTCCCCTCCTCCTCGGCGTCTGCCCACAGGAAGTGAGTCCTTTGGGGAGGAAATGGCTCCCAGATGTGTGGAGGTGACCCAGAGCTCTGGAGAGAGAGGTGAGCGGAGGTCGTCAGAAGAAGAAGAACAATAGAGTGTCACAGTCCAGAAGTGAGAATGGATTGCGTAAGAAAATCTTGTAACATTTGTGACTTCAATTAAAAACATAAAGGGCCGGTTCATCTGCTCATATGCCGCTCACGAAAACAAAAATCAGATGCATTTTAATGCGTTTCTGATGAATGGTGCTTCACACTGGTTATCCTCAACCTATCTGAAGGCATATTAAAGGGTTAGTTCACCCAAAAATCATCCTATAATTGACTCACCCTCAAGCCTCATCCTAGGCGTATATGACTTTCTTCTTTCAGCCAAACACAATCGGAGTTATATTAAAAAATGTCCTGGCTCTTCCAGGCTTTATAATGGGAGTGAGTAGAGCCTGAGTTTTTGAAGCCCAAAAAAGCACATCCATCCATCATAAAAGTAATCCATACAGCTCCAGGGGGTTAATAAAGGCATTTTGAAGCAAAGCGATGCGTTTATGTAAAAAAAAAAAAAAAAATTTTATATCTTTATAAAAGTATAATCACTGGCCTCCGGTAACGGCCGTACTCGAGCAAAGTCAAGACCAGTCATTTCACCCGGCGGCCATCTTTGAAACGCCTCTCGGGCAGCAAGTGCAGCTCCTATCTCTTTGAATGGGGAAACATCAAGTTCTCCAAAACTGTTCGGCAAGCTTACAGTTAAATTTCATATTTGAAATCACCAATGAAATCTGATAACAACTGTCTCGTAAATGTTGTTTCTTACCGCTTGAATCAAACGACATTGTTCAGGCTGGATCAAGCTAATGCTAATGCGCAGTGGAAGTGCGTCTGACTGTTTCTATGGGAACCGGAGCTTCTAACGGCTGCAGTGATGCGATGACTTTACCAATCGCCGATTGGCTCTTATTTAGAAGGCGGGACTTATTCCGCCATAATGAGCGTTTCACTTTTCCCCATTTAAAACAATACGATTGATGAACGCCGAAGCGCAGAGGATCAAGCACTGGTCTCGAATTAGAAGTCTAAAATGAGAATTTTTAAAGATAAATGTGGGAGGAGCTTATGTTTGTTGCCCAGCTCTATTAG